AACACATTCATAGCATAGCAAAATCATGGCCATTCCTCTCCCATATGTTTCTGTCCTGGTTTGGAAATACTGACCTTAATCTTCAACACTATAAGTCAATGTTTCATGTTCTCACCATGTCAGTGACAAAAAAATTATCTTCAGACATTGCCAAATATCCTCTGTGGGGGTGGACTGGGGTAGGTGGGGGGCAAAACCACTTCCTTAGAATCATACACTGTACACTAGTGTAGAAAGTGAACAATTGTACATATTGCTGTACATTCAAAAATTATGCATGCTTACTTTATAGGTAAAGGAAGGGATTTTTTTAGGGAATTATTTTCATTATGAGATTTACACCTTACTCACCAAATTCTGAATCTAATCTTTGTGAAAACTTTGACTCTACTGTATATATTTATGCAAAATTCATTTTTTTCAGAAACAAGACAAAAGAGCCTGAAACTCTGAAGAGGAGTGATTGTTGTTTTTTGTTTTGTTAATCCTCACCCGAGAATATTTTTCCATTGATTTTTAGAGAGAGTGGAAGGGAGAGGCAGAGACAGAGAGAGAAACATCGATGTGAGACACATCAATCAACTGGTTGTCTCCCACATGCACCCAGATCAGGGCCAGGGACTGAGCCTGCAACCAAGGTACATGCCCTTGACCCGAATCGAATCTGAGACCCTTCAATCCGTGGGCCAATGCTAACCACTGAGCAAACTGGCTATGCTGTTGTTTTTTTAATTAAAAAAATAAACATGTCCTTGCCTGGCTGGAGTGGCTCAGTTGGTTGGAGCATCGCCCCCTGAAAGGTCGATCCTTGGTCGGGGTACGTACGGGAGGCAACCAATTAATGTGTCTCTTTCACATGGATGTTTCTCTCTCCCCCTCTCCCTTCCTCTTCCTGTAAATATCAATAAGAATGTATCCTCAAGTGAAGATTTAAAAATATTAAAAATAAATAAAATAAACATGTCCTCAACAAAATATTAGCAAACTGAACCCAGGACTACATTAAAAAGATCATACACCATGACCAAGTGGGATTTATTACGGGGATGCAAGGTTGGTACAATATTCATAAATCAAATGTGATACACCAAATAAACAAAATGAAGCATAAAAATAATATGATCGTATCAATAGATGCAGAAAAAGCATCTGATAAAATCCAGTACCCATTACTGATAAAAACTCTCAGCAAAGTGGGAACAGAAGGAACTTACTTCAATATAATAAAGGCCATGTATGACAAACTCACAGCCAACATCACACTAAGTGGTCAAAAACTGAAAGCATTTTCCTTAGGGTCAGGAACAAGTCAGGGATGTCCGCTTTCACCACTCTTATTCAACATAGTACTGGAAGTCTTAGCCACAGTGATCAGACAAGAAGAAAAAACAAAAGGCATCCAAATTGGAAAGGAGGAAGTAAAACTATTATTATTATTCATAAACTAGAGTCCCAGTGCATGAATTTGTGCATGGGTAGGGCCCCTTAGTCTGGCTGGTGACTGAGGCCCATTGGGGCCATCTCGCCTAGGGCCGGCCGGCCTGGGGGGAGGGACCGCAGGAGGTGGGCTGGCCGTGGGAGGTTGGCTGTGGGAGCGCACTGACCACCAGAGGGCAGCTCCTGCGTTGAGCGTCTGCTCCCTGGTGGTCAGTGTGCATCATAGCGACTGGTCGACCAGTCGTTCAGTTGTAATGATAGCTTAGGCTTTTATATATATAGATGACTTGATACTGTACATAGCAAACGCTAAAAATCTCACCCAAAACTACTAGAACTGATAAATGAATTCAGTAAAGTAGCAGGATACAAAATTAATATTCAGTAATCAGTGGCATTTTATACACCAATAATGAACTCTCAGAACAGGAAACAAAGAAAACAGTCCAATTTACAATTGCATAAAATAATACCTAGGAATAACTTTAACCAAGGTTGCAAAAGACCTGTAGTAAAAGAAATAAGACACTGAAGAAAGAAACTGAAGGAGATACAAGTGGAAGCATATGTTGTGTTCATGGATAGGAAGCATTAACATCATTAAAATGTACATACTACCCAAAGCAATCTATAGATTCAATATTATAGAACTAGAACATTCCAAAAATTTATATGGAACCACAAGAGAATCAAAATAGCCACAGCAGTTGTGAGAAAAAACAAAGCTGGAGGTATCATGCTACCTGATATCAAACTATAAAAGGCCATAGTAATAAAAAAAAAAACATGATACATAAAAACAGACATATAAATCAATGGAACAGAATAGAGAGCCCAGAAATAAACCCATGCATGCCTTTATGGCCAATTAATATTTGACAAAGGAGGCAGAAACATACAAGGGGGTAAAGACAGTCTATTTAATAAATGGTGTTGAAAAAATTAGACAGGTACATGCAAAAAAATGGAACTAGATCACCTCCTTAAACCATACACAAAAATAAACTCAAAATGGATTAAAGACTTAAATGTAAGTCAGAAAACCATAAAACTCCTAGAAGAAAACATAGGCAGTAAAGTCTCAGATATTTCTCATAGCAGTATTTTTTCTGATATATCTCAGGCAAGGGAAACAAAAGAAAAAAAATACACAAATGAAACTACATCAAACTAAAAAGCTTTTGCACAGCAAGGAAAACCATCAACAAAATGAAGACAACCCATGGAATAGGAGAACGTATTTGCCACTTCTCTAAAGAGGACATACAGATGGCCAAAAGACATATGAACAGCTGCTCAACATCACTAATCATCAGAGAAATACAAATTAAAACCACAATGATATATCACTTCATGCGTTAGAATGGACACCATCAATAAATCAACAAGTGCTGGCGAGGATGCAGAGAAAAGGGGACCCTCGTGTACTGTTGGTGGCAATGAAGATTGGGGCAGCTACTGTGGAAAACAGTATGGAGTTTCCTCAAAAAACTAAAAATGGAACTGCCTTATTACCCAACAATTCCACTCTGGGAATATATTCAAAGAAACCTGAAACACTACTTTGAAAGAACATATGTTCATTGCAGCATTATTTACAATAGCCAAGGTTTGGAAGCAACCCTAGTGTCCATCGGTAGATGAGTGGATAAAAAAAACCTGCAGTACATTTACACAATGGAATACTACTCAACCATAAAAAAGAAGGGACTCTTGCCCAGCTGGTGTGGCTCAGTGGTTGAGCATCAACCTATGAACCAGGAGGTCATGGTTTGATTCCCGGTCAGGGTACATGCCCGGGTTGTGGGCTTGATCCCCAGTGTGGGGCTTGCAGGAGGCAGCTGATCAATGATTCTATCTCATCATTGATGTTTCTCTTTCCCTTCCTCTCTGAAATCAATAAAATATATATATAATTTTAAAAGGGGACTCTTACCTTTTGTGACAGTATGGATGGATCTAAAGAGTATTATGCTAAGTGAAATAAGCCAGTTAGAGGAAGACAGTACCATATGATTTCACTTTTATGTGGAATCTGATGAACAAAATAAACTAACAAAATAGAAACAGACTCAGACACAGAGAACACTGACAACTGTTAGAGGGAAGAAGGGTTGGGGGTCTGCGTGAAAAATGTGACAGGGTTAAGAAAAAAAGTAGACACAGACAATAGTCTGGTGATTGCCAGAGGGAAAGAGGGGTAGGGAAAGGTGGAAGAGGGGAGAGGAGAGGTAAATGGTGGCAGAAAGAGTCTTGACTTTGGGTGGTGAGTGCACAATGCACTATGCAGATGATGTGTTAAAGAGCTGTACACCTGGTTTTATTAATCAACTAGAGGTCCGGTGCATGAATTTCGTGCCCGGGTAGGGTCCCTAGGCCTGGCTGGCGATCAGGGCCGATCTGTGGGGCGACTGGTGGAGTGATCGGGGGGAGGAGGGGGGGACTTAGGTGGCACCCACCTTGGCTGGCCTGGTGCCGCCCACTCACCGGCCCCACACCCCGCTGCCGCCTGCTCGACAGCCAGCCCTGCCCCCTGCTGGCACTGCTGGTCACCTCCCTCAGTGGGGCGACCAGTAGGGCGATCGGGGGGACCCCTCTGGCACCCGCCTTGGCTGGCAACAGCTCCTGCATTGAGTTTCTGCCCCTTGGTGGTCAGTGCATGTCATAGCGACTGGTCGTTCCACGGTTTGGTTTATTTGCATATTAAGCTTTTATTATATAGGATATCACCCCAATAAATTCAATTAAAAAAAGGAAAATAAACATGTGGTATACTAACTTCACATTTAAGATACCAGGATCTTCATATTTGTCATATTCTAGTACCCATCTTTTAGACTTTAGAAATGTCAATTAGATTATTCTCTAGGCCAGTGGTCAGCAAACTGCGGCTAGCGAGCCACATGCGGTTCTTTGGCCCCTTGAGTGTGGCTCTTCCACAAAATACCAACTTCTGCACATGGGCCACGAAGTTTCAATTACACGTGGTATTTTGTGGAAGAGCCACACTTAAGGGGCCAAAGAGCCGCATGTGGCTTGCGAGCCGCAGTTTGCCAACCACTGCTCTAGGCCCAAAGAACATTCATTTGCCTTTCGTCATGGGGTAATTAAGAAGTACTCCCAGCCAAAACCGGTTTGGCTTGGTGGATAGAGCGTCGGCCTGCGGACTGAAAGGTCCCAGGTTCGATTCCTGTCAAGGGTGTATACCTTGGTTGCGGGCACATCCCCAGTGGGAGGTGTGCAGGAGGCAGCTGGTCGATGTTTCTCTCTCATCGGTCGGTGTTTCTTTCTCTATCCCTCTCCCTTCCTCTCTGTAAAAAATCAATAAAAATATATTAAAAAAAAAAAAAAGAAGTCCTCCCAGACTGTTTAGACTGAGATGCGCCTACCTGGCTGGTTCTGTGCAGCAGGCTCCCCAGTTCACACCCTTTGTTGACTGCCTGGCCCAGACTGAGCTCTATAAGGGTGGCTGTGCCCTCTTTGCTCACAGCTGCTTCCCTAGGACCCGGCACCATGCCTGGCACACAGAACACTCAAAGATGTGAATAACATAAGTCTTAGCACACATTTTTAGAATTATTTATTCAGAAACAGTAACAGTAAAGAAATACATTCAATAGTCCTAAAATAAATCTATATAAAATATATAATTTCATTAAGGTGCAATTAAAATGTGAAATGGCATTATATCTCTATATTTCAAGCCAATACACTAGCATTCCATATTTTTAAAGACCAGCTTACTTAAATCTTTAGTAAGTTCAAAGTTTTTTCGTTTTGCATTTATTTGCTTTAGACCATTTCAAATTCTTAGCATTTCTAAGTGTACATATTTTAAGTGTATGCTATAATAACCATGGAATTACGTACCTACTGATGAGGGAGATACTTTGGGGTGGTATGACTAGCACAGAGAATGGTGGGGTGGCTATGATCTCCTTGATCTGGACAAACTGTTTAGTCTCAATTTATTAGCTTTTCTAGTAGCTTCTCTACGTGGTTTCCACTGCCAACCCCACTAACCTATGGGTTTCTGCTTTAACATCTGTCTATAAGGGAAATGGTGAAACCTTGGACTTGCAGAAGGCAGTGGGTAGGAATAAAACACACCTCCCTTGCAGCCCAACATGAAGTTGGGACACATGAGGAGGGCAGCCTCGGGGGAAGGGAGGCCAGGAAACATTCTGCCCACCAGCACAGGAGGACACTGAGGAAGGGTCAGTCTTGGCCTGGGTGTCTCCTCAGTATTTACACTCTGAGGTCTGGAATCTCCGAAGCCAAGAAATTAACATCCAGTGGTTCTTAGTCAGTAACAGCCCTGGGAATATGACATAAGACACACAATTTATCTCGAAGGAATTATTCTTAACGCAGGCCACGCAAGATCCCCCCAGAGAAAGCCTTGCTGAAAATAAGCTCACTTTTCAAACTTACAAAATACACGGGTAAACAGTCTACAAATATATATAAGGACCAACACACACAAACAAGAGGAACTTGATTTAATAGAGCTATTAGCCTATAAAACAGGGATGTTTAATTAAAGTGATTAGTGACACAAAAGGAACTGAAAAGTTTTTTTAAAAGGACATCATGAAACAACAGGCAGATCTGAAGAATGATACACAGCTAGAAATTAAAAGCAAGTTTTGAAAGAAGAAACCCAATGAATAATTTTAAAAGGAGATTATACAGATAGCTGACAAGATAATTCATGAACTAGAAGACAGAGATGAAGGCATCACAGAAAGATAAAGTAATGGAAAACACAGATGGGCTTAAAAGGTAAAGAGGATAGAATGAGTAGGTTCAATATACATCTTTTTATAATAGTAATCATACTTGAAGTTTTTTCTCCATACAACTTTTTTTATTCAGTAACATTGAGTGATCTTGCTACTAAAAACCCAAACCTATTAAATGCTGCTGTTTCCAACATTGTTTCTTATTTTTAAGGTTGTTTTTACCCTGATATATAGATGGTTACAATTTTGAATTTTTTTCTTCCTTTTATATGTTAATATAAAATAATTTTCATTCATATGTAATATCTGGGAAACAAATGTTAATTAAAACCAGTGGTTCTAATATAGAAGGCAGGAGAAACTGTCAGTGATATTCTGGCATTCCTCTGCTTCCATTTTCAGCTAAAGCAAAAATAAGTCAGTGACTCTACCGGAAATGATACAGGCATGAATTTGAGGAGAAAAAAAATAAATGTTTAGCCTAGAAGTAGAGCGTGAATGATAATTATTTCTAAAGTGTGCAAGTAGAGATGTCCCTTGAGACCTCAAAGCAACTTTAGGTGATTGAAGCGAGTATGAAACACTTTTTAAACAACACAGTAAGTAGTTTGCTTAGCTAATATTACTACCATATATTCAAAGTATGGAGGTGGGTCAAAAATAAAGGCCAACATATAACCTCTGAAGGTTGAATTCAAGGGTATTTCATATGCCAAAAATCACACCCAAGCTTTCCATCCTGGGAAAAGTCGGCTGAGGTTTTTGGGGTCCATGGCCTGTTGTATGAGCAAATTCACTTGTCCATCCACACTGAGCACAGTTCCTTCCTCCACTCCTTTTAGTTTCTCTTGTAGTCTCATCAAGACACGCTCAGCTACTTTGTTGAAACTCTGGTCAATTTCACTAATGACAAAAACACAAACGTGTTAATGAGGTGGAACAGTTCAAAGGGCCTGGGGAATAGGAAGATCTGAACAACTGACTATAGCTCTTTCCTAAAATACGCTCACCTGAGGTTTCGTTTGCACTCTCGGTCATCAGCATTGGGCGTGGGGTGAAGCTCAGTTTCATCTTCCAGCCTCTGCTGTAAATACAAAGCTTTCAGAGGATTCATGGTCCAGTCAAAGAGAGGATCGTACAGGAGGACCTAGACAGAGAGAACAGACGTATCAGAAGATCAATGTGCATTTTGATGGTATCGCTATAAACAGCATAACCAGTATTATAAACATAACAGCGGCCAGTCATACGGCAGTCGAGTGCAGGAGGGACAAACTTATTGCACAGGCTTCTTGTTTCCTTACGGAGGAAACCACATGAGCATAATGCTCCGGGCTTCTTATCCCGTTCTGGAGTCACTCTTCCTCCCTGGTGGGGGTACACCTTGACCCATGTTTCCTTACTGGGTGAAACTAACCTATTAGAAGGGATAAGCACCAGTCACTTCCTTTCCTTCTCTCTCCTGTCCTGGTTAAGGGCATGTACTCTGCAAGCCCCGTTCTCCCTCAGGTGGGACAGGTTAGTCATGGGAGGTGGACAGCACTAACAAGTCTATTTGGATCTCACTTGCAGGCCATGTTCTCCAACAGTTTTATCAGTAATAACCTGACATTTTGAACTCTATCCTATTCTAAGGCTTTTTCTCTCAGTTCCAACTTTGAGGGGAGAAAAAAAAGGTATAATTTATTGAAAGCTCCTAGGTCTAGTGTTGTGGTTGACATCTTAAGATACACATGGAGTCCGGCTGGTGTGGCTCCGTGGTTGAGCATCGATCTATGAACCAGAAGGTCCCAGTTTGATTCCTGGTCAGGGCACATGCCCGGGTTGTGGGCTCCGTCCCCAGTAGGGGGTGTGCAGGAGGCAGCCAATCCATGATTCTCTCTCATCACTGATGTTTCTATCTCTTTCTCCCTCTCCCTTCCTCTCTGAAATCAATAAAAACATATTTAAAAAAAGAAAGAAGAGAAGGAAAGAAAGAAAGAAAGAAAGAAAGAAAGAAAGAAAGAAAGAAAGAAAGAAAGAAAGAAAGAAAAAAAAAGAAACAAAAAAAAGAGAATGCATCTTTATTCAGCCTTGGGTACAGCCTTTTATTTAAATTATCAACATACTACTGGGATCCCCTTGGTAGCATAAATCTGTATTGCCACCAGCATTCCACAGATCTCCGTGGTTCATAAGGTGGACACAGGACCTCCCTAACAGACTGTTAATTTCACTCTACACAGGATACACCCACCCTTGTTGACCACAGGCTCAAAGGTGAGTGCTGGTGAATTGGACTAATTCTCAACCCTGGCTGCATAGAGTTTTTAAAAAATACAAATGTTCGAATTTGGTCAGCATCAATATTCTGTAAAAGCAGTACAGGGGATACTGAAGTCCAGCCAGGGCCAGCACCACCAGGTTAACGGAACAAAAAGCTAAAGGATGTGAGGGAGGCATGCCCAAGCTCCACGTCCCATGCTTCCCTGAGGAGGAAAGACTCCTCGTCTCTGCTGCAGATACTCGACCAGAGTGGTGAACGCCTGCCTTAGTTGCCCAGTTCTCGCCGGGGAAAGCTAAGGTCATGAGCACTGGAAATGTGCTCGACTTCCTCCCCTTCCTGCCCTGTTTAGCATGAGGCAGTGAGCCTGGTGCAGTGTGCATGCCCCAAGGTTGGACAGCAGGGAACACCGGCTGCAAGCCAGTTTGCACTGGCAGCCATGCCCCTCCACCACCAATGCTGACTCTGACCTCCATCTGCCAGACTAAATGGTTCTGAACCTCGGCGTGGGAGATAACTAATGATTTCTCTTAATCCTGCAATGGAATCCATTCTGAAAACAATACAAAACGAGAAGTCTAAGATATAAAAGTGCTGATTTATGTAATAAAGACTAGAGATGACTATTAGGCTGTAACACGGTAAGAAACTGGAGGGAACTGGAGCCATTCTAAACCACTATTCACCCATGTGTGCAAGCCCCTCCCCTCCTGCAGCCCACATCACTCCACCACATGGAAATGAGGCATCATCCTCAAATCAGTGACTTGCTAACAGCCCGACAGGTAGAGAAATAAAGACTTCCTTAAATATACTTTACCTCCACAATGGTTAACAGTGTTTCCTTAGAGTTTCTCATCACCTCCATGGTTTTCTCACAGCATCTACAAGCACATTGTAAATATGGGTTTTGTTATACACCAATGTTTTCAAATCCATCTATCTATCTATCTATCTATCTATCTATCTATCTATCTATCTATCTATCTTCTATCTTCATGTGTAGTATGCTGAGATTATTCTTTTTAATAATTTCCAAATTAATATCTCAAAGAGCATAGAACTTGGCAGAGTGGGCTTTCAATAGATGTTTCTAAAATTAATACAAATATATATCTAAATGGAACAGAATAGAGAACCCAGAAAGAAACCCACACTTATATGGTCACTTAATCCACGGCAAAGGAGGCAAGAATACACATTGGGGAAAAGACAACTTTTTCAATAAATGGTGTTGGGAAAACTAAACAGATACATGCAAAAATATAAAACTGGACAATTTTCTTGTACCATATACAAAAGTAAACTCAAAATGGATTAAAGACTTAAGTATAAGTCTTTAAAAGCCATAAAACTACTAGAATAAAACATAGTCAGTAAAACCTTTGATATGAATCTTAGCAATATTTTTTTGGAGATGTCTCTCCAGGCAGCAGCAACAAAAGCATTATGAAACTAAAAAGCTTCTGCACAGCAAAGAAAATCATCAACAAAACAAAAAGACAACCTAATGATATACCAGATAAGAGGTTAATATCCAAAATATATGATGAAATCAACTCACAAATCAGAAAACAAACAATCCAATTAAAAAATGGGCAGAGTACCTGAACAGACATTTCTCCAAGGGCATACACAGCAGAACAAAAGTAGGTTTACAGTTGTTTGTATGGAAACTAATACAATAGTTAATAAATAATACAGAAATAAATTGTTTTTCATAAATCTATCTTTGTCCCACTGGAAATTAATATATGATAATACAAAGAATTAAATCTGTGTTTTGCATACTCATAACTCTAAAACTACTTTAGCCCTACCCTGTACAGAGAGCCAACAAACATATGAAAAGATGCTCAACATCACTAATCATCAGGGAAATGCAAGTCAAAACCACACGAGATATCACCTCACACCTGTCAGAATGGCTATTATCAAATGTCAACAAACAAGTGTTGACAAGGATGTTGAAAAAAGGCAACCCTGTGCACTGTTGGTGGGATTGTAAATTGGTGCAGCCACTGTGGAAAACAGTACGGAGGTGCCTAAAAAAATTAAAAATAGCACTGCTATACAACTCAGCTATTCCACTTCTGTGTACTTATTGAAATAAAAACACTAATTCGAAAATATATATGCACCCCCTATGTTCACTGCAGCATTTACAACAGCCAAGCTATGGAAGCAACTAGGTGTCCATCAATAGATGAATGGATAAAGAGGATGTTATATATACACACAATGGAATATTACTCAGCAATAAAAAAAGAATGAAATCTTACCATTTGCAACAATGCAAAAAAAATACAACTGGATCACTCTTTTATATCATACATAAAAATAAACTCAAAGTGGATTTTAAAAACTTAAATATAAGACCTAAAACCACAAATCTCCTAGAAGAAAACATAGGCAGTAAACTCTTTAACATCAACCCCAGTAATATACTTTTAGATGTGTCTCCAGAAGCAACAGCGACAAAGCTGTTACGTAGATCTAGAGGGTAAAATAAGTCAGACAAAGAAAGACAAATATCCTATGATTTCACTTATGTGTGGAATCTAAAAAAACAAAATCAACAAAACAAATCAGAGACAGACTCATAGGAACAGAGAACAGAGACTGATAGCTGTCAGAAGGGAGGAGGTGGGGGGAATGAATAAAAAGGTGAAAGGGATTGAGAGGTACAAACTTCCAGTTATAATATAAACAAGTAAAAAATAAAATAAAATAAACAAGTCATAGGGATGTAATATACAGCACAGGGAATATAGTCAACAATATCATAATCATTTTATATGGCGATAAATTTTAGATTTATCATGGTGATCACATAGTAAGGTATATATATAAATGTCGAACTCTTACATTGTACACCTGAAACTAATAAAGTATTGTATGTCAATTATACTTTAATAAAAAAATATATATGTGTGAATATAAGAATAATACAATACTATGAAATATTTCTTTCAGTCATTAATTACTGTGGTCATTATTAGAATCTGTCCCATTAAAAATTGAGTACATAGACCTATGCAGGTAAAATATAGGGAACTGCACATTTCTTTTAGCAGGCACTGGAACTGGCTCATAAGCTCCTTTGGGACCGATTATATGCCCACCGATGAGCACCTGAGAGGAGTTCCGAACATTAAAAGGAAAGTTAGTCAAACAGAGGCATTGAAGATAAAGGTGGGCAGCTTCCAGAGGTTAGGAAGGACAGTACGTCTGATATATTGGGTGAGGTCCCAGGTGACCTGAAAGAAGGGGAAACAATTGCTATTCTCAGCCAGGGTCTCTTCCTTAGTGCTGGCAAAGCACGGGCATGTAATTCTAGCAATGAATTCTATAATCTATAAAAATCAACAACCCAAATAACTTTGACACCTAAAATCATCTGCCCTATCTTACATCACTTACCTTCTGAAGACACCTTCAACACCTGTAATGCCCATCCCATCCACAATATCTCTGGTGAGTCTAAAAGGCACTGTTTCAGGAGTAGGAAGGATTTTACCCTGTTCAAAAGCAACCCCTAAGAGAAAAACACAGTGAGGTTAGGAGGTTCCATAGCTAATTGACTTTCCTCCCAAATGGCACGTGAACTTTGTAGAGGCACCAAATACTCTGTCACCTATATCCTCTCAGTACTACAACACACAGTAGTTCACTCCATTTCTGCTCAGCCCAGCTTCCTCATCTCCACCACTGTTAAAGAAACATTTACTACTTCTTAACATAATTAGGGAAATATAGATTCAAGGATGGTTTTAAAAATGAAGTAGTTACAGGTAGAATTTAAAATGCAGAGTATATATATATATACATATATATATATAAATTTATATTTATAATATCTTTGATCTCTTTCTAATGGAATTAAATTTTATTCTCTCTTAGAAAACCATCTATGTGGATTACATTGTAGAATTTCTAATTTCTTAAAACTGTACCTTCTTAGAATTCTTAAATTCTACATTCTAATCAAGACCTCTTCTTCTATACACTTATTTAATAATAGTCTTCAAACTCATTGAGATTTCTAGTCTATTAGCCTCGCTTCCTTCCCTACTCAACCCAGAGTATAGACTACAAAGTTGATTACTCTCACTAGTACCTCAAGTCTCCTTGCCCCACCACACCTACCATTTCTAACTAAAACTTCAACTCCAGGGATGTTCAGGATTGGTGGAAGAAGTCATATGGAGACACTATTGGCTTCACTACAAATTTAGGATTCTCACCTTAGGAAAGTGACCCTTAAACTGCTTTGCATGTCTTTTTACTTCTCCCTTTCTACAACTCTTGGTCTCATTTTCTTGGTACTTGTTTTAGAATTTTATTGTTCTTTTAAGGTTGATTACCATCCCTCTGATTATTAGCAAGTAAACATGCCTTCTATTTCTCAGAAATAACAGAAGAGCAAATACAATATTCCTAAAATTCTCTTTCCCTCTAGCTTCTGACTTTCCTATTAGCACTCATCCTTTCCTCCTCTGAGCAGAAAAGCTCACATGCCTCCAATGGAAAGCCAATTCTATTGCGCATGCACTTTATAATTTCCCTTGCTGTTTTAATTTTATCTTTCCTGTATTTTATCAACATCTAACATGCCTCTCTCATATTAAACAAAGCAAACAAAAAACAGTCAAAACTAACCAAAAAAAAGGAGTGAATATGTGTCTCTACATCATCTCTGTGGCAAATTTCTCCCACCCTCCCCTCCCCTTCTAAACTTCTTGCGGGACAATTCCACATTCTTAGTCTATACATCTTTAACTTTCATTCGATCCTTGCCTTTTTACAGTCTCACTTCAACCATTCTATCCAAAAGTTACTTCCTAGGCCTCTAACACTGATTGTTAAATACAAAGGCCCTTTTTACTGCATTCATCTTATTTGACCTTTCTGTATCGGCCACTACGGAGCACTTCTTCCTTCATAAAAGTGTTTCCTCCAGATATGCCCCCCTCCTAGTTTCCATGACTTATTGGTTTTTCCTGTTTTTCTTCTGACTCAGCCTTTTCAACACCAGCATTCCTCACACCCCATCCTTGGTCTTCTTTATCACGGCTGATGCATGGGTTCAGAACCTCCTCCAGTCCACTCACTTCGCCTGAAACCTGTTTGCTGAAAGTTCCACGTCACTATGCTCAACTTCTTTGTTCTCCTATATAGTAAACTGCCTACTCCATCTGGAAATTGCAAAACTAAACTTACTGCTTCCTTATTCTTTACAAAACCTGCTCTGCTCCTTACTAGAAACTTCAGTTCCCCTGGAGCCCCCCTCCCACAGTTCCCACATCTAAGATCACTGGTGCAGGTTACTGCAAAAAAGTCCCCAAAATCCAATGCTCTGGACTTCACAAATGTCGTCCAAATCTTCAACCTCTCTTGTCTACACTACTATAACACCAACTAACCTGCCTTCCCGCAGCCAATAAATACTGCTCCCAAATTACCTTTCCAATAATCAAATGTAATCACATCTTGCTTAAATATATCATCATTTACTTCCCATTATTTAACGGATTAAAGTTGAAACTTCTTAGCTTGGCTTTTTACAGCCTCGTAGCAATCTATCTCTCATGCTACTCGATTACATGCAGGCTCTACTCTGGCACACTGACTGTCACCCCATTCCTATAACATATACATCTTCTTTGGTAGGAAAACAACATTTCTTGATGACTAGTTATTAAACAAAATAAAAATACGTATCTTTTATGACTTACCTAAATCTATATGTACAAGTTCTGCTGATTGCTCATTTATCAAGATATTCTGTACATGTCTATCACCAAGTCCAAGTATGTAACCAACTGGGGAAAAAAAACAAACCTGAAATCACTGATATCATCAATTTCTAATAACATATTTAGTCATAATTTCAACTATTATCATTGATTACATAATTTTAAGTAGCTTGGACTTTTTAGCCTACTTAAAGGAAAACATGTTCATAGCTGGCCATTTTGAACTGAAGTCAAATCTCACCAGCTATTTTCATTTATACTGCATTTTAAAACCCTAGATAACTTGCTAAAAAGTTTCCCCTTTACAAATACAGCACATATTTAAAAATATTAGTACTTTGACATTGGTGTGGTTAAAGTTGAGACCATTATTTACCAGGACCAAGTGCATATGCATTCACATATTTATTGAGTAATTCATGAGAAAATTCTTCATTCTTCAGTGAAACTTTCTTCTGCTTGGTTATATTTAACACAAATTAATCATTAATTCATTTAATCAGGTATATACCAAAAATAAAACCAACTAATTTCTATTTGTAAGACAGATTATGACATGACTTAAAATACCTTTAACCTAAAAAAAAACACTAGGTTGTTACAGAAAAGACACCACATAGGGAGTCAGGATGGCTCGCTCTGTCATTAACAGGGCCTACTTTCTTGTTTATAACCTAAATTAGTTGAATCAGATGAACGATCCTCAATGTAGAAAAGAAGAGAATTTCATAATTATCTACAATTTTTTAAAAACATACATGCCCTGCCTTCTTGGGGAATGGTCCCAAAGTGATGGAGGCAGTGGTCTTAAGTTAAAAGCCAGTGGATTAAAAGATAAAAGATCTCTGATGCTCTTGTTAGCCTGCACACTCTATGATTTTGTTAATTGCCCTATCTAGCCTTCCCAATCTCTTACAAATGAAAAAAGCAAAACAAAGTCAAAGTACACATTGGACACTGAATATTTAAATAGATATCGTTATTTCTATTCTAAAAAGAAAATCTTATTAAACAGAATCAATCACTGGGTGATAATATGGTATTACAGAGGTTCTGCACAAAGAACACTAATAATTAAAGGAAATAACTTACATGCAGTTATCATGCATTTTATTATTTTCCAAAGGAAATCTCAGAAAATAACACAGTGAACTCAGGAAGAGAAAAAAAACCATATTCACTATTAAACAAAAAAGAATAACCAGATTGTTTCTCTACCTTGGGGCAGGAGAATTCTCTCCTGCAAAAGCTAAGAAGAGCTACAACTAGAAGCTAAGAATCGGGATGAGCCCAGCCAGAATGGCTCAGTGGTTGAGGGTCAACCTATGAACCAGGGGATCGGGGCACATGCCTAGATTGCGGGCTTGATCCCCAGTCGGCGGGGCATGCAGGAGACAGCCAATCAATGAGTCTCTCTCATCATTGATGTTTTCATCTCTCTCTCCCTCTTCCTTCCTCTTTGAAATTTAAAAAAAAAAAATTTAATTTAAAAAAAATCAGGATGAGCCCTGGTTGGCATGGCTCAGTGGCTGGAATGTCGCTTATGCATCGAAGGGTCGTGGGTTCGATTCCCGGTCAAGAGAGCATACCTGGGTTGCGGATTTGATCCCACATGCTGGAGGCAACTGATCAATGTGTGTGTGTGTGTGTGTATATGTGTGTGTGTGTGTCCCTTCTCCCCCTCCTTTCCACTCTCTGGTATATACTTGATGAAATGAATTAATGATTTAAAAAAAAATCAGGATGAACAAAAAACTCAATGATCTAAAGATGAAAACAATTTAGTTAACAACCACTATCAATAACATCATCCCCTGCAATTAAGAATGTGGGAAGTGTGAATTTACTAAAATGTGTAAGATTACCAATAGAAGAAGTAGCCACACTGCGAGTATAGGCCAATCGTTTCTCAAACCAAACAGCTGGGTCCAAGAATTTTTCCATGCAGAAATAACGGAACACTGGTTGAAAATTCTTACAAATATCCATGAATGTTTCATATTTCTCTTCATAAGACTTCTTTTGCGCATCCTTTAAATAGATCAAATATAAAATTATTTTCTCAATATTGTGTTCAAGTAATTTAAGCCCACTAAGAGTGTCTATATGGAAAATAGTATGACAGACATAAAGGTAATAAAAAGATAAGGTATCTCTACTCTCAAGAAGCTAACACACTGGTCAGGGAAGCAATTAATAACAAGTTCTAATACCTTTAGGGTTTTCATATTAGTGGAAGGATGCACACTAACTTGCATGATCCTGTAATCTATGTGAAAGTAAACACAAATGACAAAGGTAGTTCCAGACAGTCTTAGGTGGTGTTATGGCACTAGGTACTAGGGGTGGGATAGGAAACAAAACGGAGGAAGAATGGGTCACTGATGGATGGCAAAGCAGCTGACAAGTGTCAGACCTGGCTTCTAACATACCTTCCTGAAGCAGAGCTTGTCTACTTCACTGGGCCTACTCTCACCTATGTGCTGATGACTTCCAAATCTCCACCTTTGGCCGGGACACCTTCATTAAGCTCCAGCACGATGTGCTTCCCAACTGCCCACTCAACATCTTCACTGGGATCACTTCCAAATCCAAACTAATCCACCTTCTCAACTGTGGCAAAGCACAGCCACTTCCTCTATTTTTTACACAGTAAATGGCCTCTCCGTTTACCCCAACACCCCAACCAGAAAACTGGGTGCTACTGACTACGTTTTCACCAATCCCACTTCTAATCAGCAACCAAATCCTACCTGTTCTGCCTACTTAATATTTCTCATATGTATCCCCTATTCTCCATTCCTATTGTTTATGAATCTTAGTTCAGATCCCCTGCCTCATGCCTTTACTCGGAATTTTTGAAAACATAACCCACAGTGCTATCAGAGTTATCTTTTTTTTTTTTTAATGTTTTAATTGATTTTTAGAGAGGAAGGGAGAGGAATAGAGATAGAAACATTGATGAGAGAAAGAAACATCAATGGCTGCCCCTCACTGGCGATCAAGCCCTCAACCCAGACATATGCCCTGACTAGGAACTAAACTAATGACCTCTTGGTTCATGGGTCCATGCTCAAACATTGAGCCACGCAGGCTGGGCCAGAGTTATCTTTCTAAAATGCAAATTTGATATTAACATTCTTCTCAAGGGTTCTCTATTGCCTACAGGACAAAGTGCACATTTCTTAGCATATAATGCAACCCTCTATTTTTTGACTAAAGACTACTGATTCAATATCCTATCTGCTCCTCCTCAAAGACTAAGGCTGTGCTGTCTTTAACTGCATGTTCACACCTCCTTCTCTTTGCTTGTATCTTCTTCTGCTTGAAGACAAATTCATTTACAAAACTTGCCTCAAACACCATCTCCTCTATGAAGCCTTTCTTGAATCGGATTCTCCCCATGCCCCATCCCAGGGAGAACTAACCACTTCCTCCTCTGTCCTGCACTGTACCCTCTGTACACTGAACAATGAAAGGAGAAGTAAGTGGATTTTAGAGTTGTAGAGACAAGGTTCAAATCCTTGCTCCACCACTTATTCGCTCATTGACCTTGGGCAAGTGAAGTTCTCTGCATTTCTTCTCACCTTTCAATGGGACGAGTACAATGATTAGTCATAACATCTGTGAAATTTCAGATTTGTGAAAGCTCACCTGGTACAGAGGAGGCATTTAATAAACACTGCTGAGAGTGAATGCCAAATGACCAGTGTAATGTGGCAAATGTCTTAGAAGCTCTCTATATTAGTTTCAGATAAAAATTATTTCATCATGGTTTTGTTTTAGTGTTTTGTTTTGTTTTGTTAAGAATTAGCATACATTGAAAAATATTAAATTTCTCATCAGACAAGGGTAGACATTTCAGTTTAAAAACCTTCTTTTTCCACTCATACAACCTTTTATTCTGGTGAGCTTTCTTTCTTTTACTTAGTATCATTAGCAATTACCTGCTGAAATTAAAACTGTTTATATTCTGTATGTGACAACCTTGAGCTTTAATAAACTATTAAACAATCCTGCAATAACTCATACTTTTGGGTGTCACTTACCATCATTTTCTTCTGGCATTGATAGGCACTGATATCCTTTGGCCTGTATCTTTTATGAGCACCATTCTCATTGTTAACAAGAAATTCACCAATAGGGACAGTTCCTGTGCACCATTCAAGAACACCACTTCGCTGAGAAAGGGGAACCACCTAAAGTTATAGATTAAATACCTTTTGATTATGGAAGGGCATTAAATAGCATATGGTAATCATTGAACTATCAGAGTCAGGGTGAAGCATTTTCTCAAGTTGTATTACAATTTCTCTATCCACAGGAGACAAAGTTCTTTGGAGGAAAGCTTACTCTTTAAGCTCAAAGAGTAAGATCTTCTGGCCTGCTGCTTAGACTTGAGAACCTGCTCACCTCTTAGTCTCCACGATTCCCTTGAGAAGTCAGTCCTGTTTATGATCCCCTTCATCACCTACACTGAGCCATACTTAGTTGGTTCCATTTGGAAGAGGAATTAGCCCTGTTTTCCTTATACTTTGTACTTTAAAAAAATGTTTTTATTGATTTGAGAGAGAGGGAAGAGAAGGGTTAAGGAGAAACATCAATGAGAGAGAGAAACATTGAGCAGTTGCGTTCCTTAGAGCCCCCACTGGGGGTTGAACCCACAACCTTTTTTGGCATACGGGATGATGTTTAAACCAGCTGAGCCACTGACAAGCGCAGTATTTCCTTCTTAATAGCACTTTTCTTCTTAAGAGTACTTTTATACCAGAAATAAGCCAAATGGTTAAAGATAAGGAAAAAATACTTTAGTTGATTATAAGAAACACCTCACTGCAGTTAACATTAATGAGTTCTTTTAAAAAAAGAAAAAATAAGCAAACAAAAAAACAATGTGGCTAATCAGAGATTGGCAATCTATGGCCTTGGACAAATCCCAGCCCCAGACTGCTTTGAAGAGCCTGTGAGCTAAGAATGGGGTTTCAGGTTAAAAGGGTTGTAAAGAAAATATAAAGGATAGATGACAGAGACCTTTTGTGGCCCATAACATCTCAAATGTGTACTATCTGGTCCTTCACAGAAAACATTTGCTGACCTCTGGTCTGAATATTACCCTTGGTGAAGCAGCAGAAGTAAAAACGAGTTACCTTGTATGTGCAGATAGTCAACTTCCTCTTCCTGGTCTCAGTGTTTCTCTGCAGCAATGTATTACACATCTGGAAAACCTGCTGCATGACAGCATCTTGTCTCAGGTCATCACGGCCCTTCAGAATAATAATAAAAAATGAATAACTAAGCATAGTTGATTTCTTTACAATAAAATCATAGCAAGAGACATCTGAGGACAGCGAAAGGGTACTCAGAAATCAATCTGGGCATCAGTGCTCCTCTTAAAGGTCTCTTAAGTAATTAAGACCTAGGCTATTCTTTCATAAGAAGCTGTAACACTGAGTAGGCAGAACAATTTAGAAAAAAGAATCCCCCTCAATTGAAACTTCTCCACCTGAGGGCAAGCTGCAAAAGAGCTGGGTGGGGCAACTGTTCTCTCTCTGCCACTCCTCAGTGAGGCCCAAAGAGCTTTTGAACAGATTAGGGAGAATCGCGATTCTTTCTGGTACATTCGCTAGCACTTGGGTATAGTGCCAGACTCAGCATATTGAAGCAAGGACCTTAAACTTGAACTAATCAAGAATAGAAGTAACAAATACCAACAACATATTTCACAGACCTAGAACAAACTCTCCACAAATTCATATGGAATAAAAAAAGACCCCGAATAGCCACAGCAATCCTGAGAAGGAAGAACAAAGTTGGAGGGATCTCAATACCAGATATCAAGCTATACTACAAAGCCACTGTTCTCAAAACTGCCTGGTACTGGCACAAGAACAGACATATAGACCAGTGGTTCTCAACCTTCCTAATGCCGCGACCCTTTAATACAGTTCCTCGTGTTGTGGTGACCCCCAACCATAAAATTATTTTCGTTGCTACTTCATAACTGTAATTTTGCTACTGTTATGAATCATAATGTAAATATCTGATATGCAGGATGTATTTAGGCAACCCCTGTGAAAGGGTCATTCGACCCTCAAAGGGGTCGCGACCCACAGGTTGAGAACTCAAACCATTATGCTCAATTAATATTTTGACAAAGGAGGCAAGAACATACAATGGAGTCAAGATAGTCTCTTCAATAAATGGTGTTGAGAAAATTGGACAGTCTTGCAAAAAATGCAACTAGATCACCAACTTACACCATAAACAAAAATAAACTCAAAATTAATAAAGGACTTAAATGTAAAACGGGAAACCATAGAAATCTTAGAAGAATCCATAGGCAGCAAAATATCAGACATATGTCTTAGCAATATCTTTACTGATACGGATCCTAGGACAATATCTTTACTGATACAGCTCCTGGAAACTAAGGAGAAAATAAACAAATGGGACTACATAAGAATAAAAAGCTGCATAGCAAGAGAAACCATCAACAAAACAACAAGAAAGCCCACTGCATGGGAGAACATGTTTGCCAGTGTTATCTCTGAATCTCTGATAATCTCCAAAATTTACAGGGAACTCATACAGCTTAACAAAAGGAAGATAAACGATCAAATCAAAAAAATGGGCAAAAGATCTAAATAGATACTTTTTTACCAAAAAAAAAATAGGTATAATTTTGACTGATTTACATAAATAATAATAGTAATTATCTACCCTTTTTGCTCCAAAGTGACTTTTTAAAAAATTATGTGCCTATCCTATCTTATATAATAAAAGGCTAGTATGCAAATAGACCATACGGAGGAATGACCGGTTGCTATAATGTACACTGACCACCAGAGGGCAGATGCTCAATGCAGGCGCTGCCCCCTGGTGGTCAGTGTGCTCCCACAGGGAGAGTGCCGCTCACGGCTGGCGAGCGCAGCAGCAGTGGCGGGTATTGCATGTTTTAAAAATTCTTGTAGCACAGCAGTGTGCCACAGCATACTAGTTTAAAGTCGCTGTCCTAGACTAAAAGCTACTCTGGACCCACCTAACAAAGTTTAAAAGTAAGCCTTGAAATTATCAAATTATTGCCAAGTAACATAACTACACCCAGAACAAAGCTAAAAAACACTTTAAAAATCTATACCATATGATCCAGCAGTCCCACATCTAGGTATTTGTTCAGAATAATTAAAATCAGGATCTTGAAGAGGTATTTGCACTTCTCTATTCATTGAAGCATTGTTCACAGTTGCCAAGGTGTGGAAGCCACATAAATGTCCATCGACGGATGAATGAATAAAGAAAATGTGGTATATACATATAATGGAAAAGAAAAACTGTCATGCAGCAACATAGATGAACTTTGAGGACCTTATGCTAAATGAAATAAGTCATTAAAGGAACAAATACTGCATAATTCCACTTACATGAGTTTTCTAAAATAGACTCAGAAGCAGAAAGAATAGTGGTTGCTAGGTGCTAGAGGGAGGGAGAAATGGAAAGTTGCTGTTCAGTAGGTATAAGGTTTCAGGTATGCAAGACGAAAAAGTTCTAGAGTTCTGTTGTGCTTGTAGTTCATAGTACTGGACTGTACACTTAAAATTTGTTGAGGGTAAACAAATAAATTGTACACATTCATTTATTGACTCATATATCTTAATAGCATTTTCTACTTTTAAAAAAATATGCAATATATTTGTATAGTGAAGATTAAGCACAACAGATGAATATATACTCATAACAAATCTGAAAAAAAATCCAATATCCAACAATGCAAAATTCTTAAATGTTTTGCATCCTATGAAAAATTACCAGACATGCAAAGAAGCAGAAAAATATGACCCATCATCAAGACAAAAATTAACCAGTAGGAAGAGAGGAAGATCGAATTAGCAGACAAAGACATTAAGGCAGCAATTACAAATATACTCCATATGTTCAGGAAGGTAGAGAAAAACATGAGCATGTGAAGGAGAGAAATGGAAGTTATTTTTAAAAAGGGAGAGCCAAGAACGAATGTCATGTGCTGTTGGTTAAGAACTGGAGCTATAACTTTCTGTTAAATGAAAGAAAATATTTGACATTAACAAGGCTTTAAAAAATGACACTACTTCCCTAAATATATCTTAATAAAAGTAGGGTATACAAAATTGGAATAGTGTCATTGAAAAATTATTGAAAACATGTCTTAACACTGACTTGTACATGTTAAGTCATCTGAGAAATAGTACTCACAAAATCATAATAAGGTAAATTTTAGAAAAGCATGGAGAGGAGTTCTCTAGGTTATAACTACTAAGTATGCATTTTCAGGAATTATTCAGCTAAATAATATTGATGGAATAGTTGGGAAGATATTAGTTAATTCACATAAAACAGCTATACTTCAAATCAAATAACTTTAGGTACTAACCACTGAATTGCAAACTCAAAGGAGAGATTTATAATGTAGTTAAAAATGATCATTTTCTAAACTATAACCTTTATTATTACATAGATCCCTGACCATAGGGTACTTATAGCAATAAAAGATCATTATTACATAGCTAAAAGGTCATTATTGCATAGCTAAATGTACATTATAATCAATTTTATATTGCAACACATACTGCATTGCTTAATACTGTAATACATCACAATCAATATATTATAATGCATATAGAACTTTAAAAACCAGTAACACAAGTAGGAACTTTCTTGCCAAGTTAAAAACTAATCTTGGCATAAGCACATGGAATTTTTCCTTCTGGCCAATGAAGATAACAGTCTACAGACATTCTTCATAAGAAAGATGGGGGTATGGGACTGACGGCAAAGGAAAAGAAAGCTGGAGAGGCCTTTATGCATTTTAAGGCTTGAGCACAGGAAATCTAATAAAGAAAAAAAACTATAGGTTGAAACAAATGAAATTGCCAGTATTTAACCAATTTTGATCTACAAAAAAGACGATTTCTAATGATTTAATCTAACACAGAGGAATTGAGTTTAATAAAATAAAAGAGTTGATGGTAAATTACCTTAATTTCCATAGTAGGAACAACAACATCTTCTAAGTCCTTAAGTTTAGTAATTGGCTGGTCTGCTGGAATTTTTATGCCTTCTGTATTTAAAATAAAGAGGTTTTAGTGGCAACCGAAAATTGAGGAACGGCACTGACTGTAAAGCACAATTCAGCAGATGCCACAGACCCTCCCTTCTGGCTGATCCGTGGTTTAGTCCCTGATTTAGAAATGAAGATCCAAGGGCTCGGGACACAATGTAGCTCAGGGTCAGAGCATAGTGATGGTTAATTTAACATGGCTTACAAATGCAGGTGCTGGTTACCTGGCCCTGGTAATCAGATCGAGGGGGACAGCTTGAGCACCTTGAGATAATGACATTTTTTTTAAGTCATTACATAAGATAATTACCTAATGTATTCCTGCCATACTATTAAAAGTGACTAAAGGGCCCTAGCTAGTTTTGCTCAGTGGCTAGAGCATCAGCCTGCAGACTGAAGTGTCCCGGGTTTGATTCTGGTCCAGGGCACATGCCTGGGTTGCAAGCTCGATCCCCAGTAGGGGGCGTGCAGGAGGCACTTGATCAATGATTCTCTCTCATCATTGATGATTCTGTCTCTCTCTCCCTCTCCCTTCCTCTCTGAAATCAATAAAAATACATGTTAGATAAAAAGAGTGACTAAAGGACATGACGGTATTTTTTGTTTGTTTAGAGCAGTGGTTCTCAACCTTCCTAATGCCGCGACCCTTTAATACAGTTCCTCATGTTGTGGTGACCCCCCAACCATAAAATTATTTTCGTTGCTACTTCATAACTGTAATTTTGCTACTGTTATGAATCGTAATGTAAATATCTGATATGCAGGATGTATTTTCATTGTTACAAATTGAACATAATTAAAGCATAGTGATTAATCACAAAAACAATATGTAATTATATATGTGTTTTCCGATGGTCTTAGGCAACCCCTGTGAAAGGGTTGTTCGACCCCAAAGAGGTAGTGACCCACAGGTTGAGAACCGCTGGTTTAGAGGAACACAATAAGTCTCATTCTTATTTTAAAGTAATAATTATTAAATTTAAATGTGAAGATATGATTCTAAACAAAATGGAATATCATTATTAAAGTATGGGGAGAGAGATACTTATAAGTGAATGCATATAATCAAAAATTACAGCATCTTATAATTATTTTAACAGACACAGCAAGAAGGATGGATTACATGCAAGGCATTCTATGGAAGAAATGGAGGCTTTTTCATTTTTAAGTCCTAGGGCACAGTGAGTATCTAACTATTTTAAAAACCTTTGACCCTAAAAAATCTTAGCTATTCAGTTATTTTAAAGGATGTGCTTCTATACAATTCTCTGCAACAGAAGATTACCCAGAGAAATCAAATAATTCAGTGTGGTCATCTATTATCAGTTCCACCAAAATATATTAAGTGAAAAAGTGAATGGTATTGAAGCCATTAGATAAAAATTAAGTTTTGGATCATGTGTGAATTGCAATCAACAGGACCTTTGTATCTGTAATTACAGTAATGTTTGTGATTTAAAGAGATTTATACATTAGGTTCTGTAATTAACATATCTCTACAGAGAATAACATAGCATGAAAGGAACACTCATTCTTTTAAAAACATACTTCTCTGAGTCTTCCACTGAGTGGCATCAAAGTTTGCTAATATAATATAAGCATCACAAAGTGTCTCAACACTCCTGACCATCTGGGGTCTCCTACTTCTGATAGCACTTATAATTTTGGTTGCAGCCTCAGTGCGATCCTATTCAGAAAAAACAAACAAAGAACAATGCATAAGAAAATACCTGACATTTCAACTTTTCAGATATAATAACAAAAGAAAAAAAAGAATGTATGCACACGTGTAGGCAATGAAAGGACTATAATCCCTCAGATCCAAACAAAACAGCTCCCTTATGAATGAAATACATAAAAGATATAATAATCTCAAGAGTAAGTGGCGTGGGTGCCTTTCAAAAATCTAGTTTTTATTTGCTCATTGCTGTGAGGAAAAAATGTAAAATATTACTGGTATCTCCTATGCTTTGAGAAATATTCAGAAATTTTGAACCAATTTTAAGTGGCATCATAATAACAAAGGATTTACAAACCGAATCTAGTCACAACACACATTCTTAGAATCCCTGGAATTTAAGAAAAGAATATTCTGGGAAAATATGAATATCACAATTCAAAAAGTTATATATGTTTAATCCAAATACCTCATCAAGCTGAGAGCTCTGTTTAGGTGCATTTTTAGTTATTCTACTCCTTCTTGCTGCCTCTGATTTTGTCAAAGATTCATCTTTGTTCGCATTTGCTAAGGCCAATATAATAAACAAAGTATGATGGGGGTGATCCATTGAAATTCTAGAGATGAGCTGTCACAAATGAAGAACTATTAGTTTTATGCAAACAAACAAAAAAGTAGAAGATCCACAACACTTTTCATTTTACTTAACATTGAGATATGTGTTACTGTACTAGATACCGCAGTGGGTGAGTGTGGGTTAGAGACAGGGTACATGAGGATAAGAGAGAAACTGAGTAATGTATGTGCAATGAGAGGAGACAAAAGGAAATCTTTGTTCTTGCCCTTGGCACAATAAATAGAGGACTAAATTTTTTTGTATTTCCATTTCTTAGAATGGAACAGCAGTACATACTTGATATAGTATATGATAATATAAAAGAAAAGCAATTGTTGTTTTGATTTCCAGGTTTACTTACATTATTGAGGATTTCATGAAATCCTAGGCCTCCCGTCATCTTGGTCCCCATTCTAGCAGCCAGTTGGTACATAAGAGGCAAAAACTTATATGATGGAATCTTCATTCCATATCTCTATCATTAAAAAAGAATACAAAATTAAGAAACAATGCATTTCAAATAGTCTCACATCTAAGTAAATAAATTACTCTAAGGCAGTGGTTCTCAACCTTCCTAATGCCGCGACCCTTTAATACAGTTCCTCATGTTGTGGTGACCCCCAACCACAAAATTATTTTCGTTGCTACTTCATAACTGTAATTTTGCTACTATTATGAATCGTAATGTAAATATCTGATATGCAGGATGTATTTTCATTGTTCGCGACCCACAGGTTGAGAACCGCTGTTAATGCTCTTCAACTAGCACAACCTTGTGGTTGTTAATAAAACTTCACTACATTTTTTCCTTATCATTTATCTTATCTGACAGTCTTTCTGATTGGCATTCTAGATTGATTCATCGTATTTGATCCTAAATTAAATTGTATTGAGAATTGAAATACTTGGCACTGCTTATATTCCAGTGAACCCAAGAACGAATGTGGATCTGGATCTGAGGACCATGGCGATCTGCACTCCTGAGCAGTCAGAGTATAATAAGATGGGGTAATTATTATCCCCTACATGCTAAAAGTAACAGGTTTGTGCACTAGTAACTGAGACTTGTGTCTATTATGAGTCTTACCATTCTTTTCATCCAGCAGAACCATTTTACTTTTAAGCTTCAAATGGACTGTCCTCCCCAAAATGTATATACACTTTAACAGCCAAGAGCTCAATTTTGAAAATGAAATTTATTTTAACTTTTGGGGTGTCCCTGAAAATGTATATGCACTTTAACAGCTGAGAGCACAATTCTGAAAATGAAATTTATTTTAATAAACACTGACTTTATAATTATTCAAAGTGTGTGTACATATTTTTGGGGATACCCTATATATAATTAACATAACTTTAATTTTAGGTGTCATCAATAAAATCTAAGATTTTTAAATAAAAACTTATGAAATACTGCTGCCTTGATACTTTCTTTAAAAAATTATTTTCCATTTACAAAAGAATTCTCTGTAAAAATTCTAGAAAAGCATAAAGCAGGCAAAGAAATCTACCTGTGACCTCATCATTTTTTTAAAATATATTTTTGTTGATTTCAGAGAAGAAGGGAGAGGGAGAGATAGAAACATCAATGATGAGAGAGAATCACTGATTGGCTGCCTCCTGCACGACTCCTACTGGGCATCGAGCCTGCAACCCTGGGCGTTGCATGTGCCCTTGACCAGAATTGAACCTGAGACCCTTTGGTCCACAGACCGACGCTCTATCCACTGAGCAAAACCAGCTAGGGCTGACCTCATCATTTTTTATTGCTTTCCAAATCCCCCTAGTATTCTGGGTACATTCCTGTGGTAATTGCAAAGAAATAGGAAAATACTGACCTAAATTCTCTCATCTCCATACAACACTGCATCATTAAAGCTAATTAAGTATACCTGTGCATACTTGAACCTATGTGTACTATGAGCACCAAGCCAAGTGCTAGGGATACAAAATATACATAATCCCTGATACTAAGCTTTTCAAGCACATGGTAGAATATCAGGTTGAAAAAACAACTTGCCTTCATCATGCCACTGACTTCAGAAACTCCAGAATTTTCAAGCCAGAGGGAACAAAGACGAAATATCCACATATCATGCCCTTCTCCACTTAACAGGCAACTGATGTAATTTTCAACAGCTTTACATAAGAAACGCTTCCGATCCTCTTTCAGTGCACGGAGTGCACATTCATCCAGCTCCAGCTCTCGCTGAACCTTTATTGTGTATCTTGCATTGAATAATTAAAGTAAAACACAAAAGCCGTCAAATTTATAGGACTACAAAATCATACATGATATACAACATAAGTGAAAAATCAGAAAAGGCAAAATTCTAAGGGTTATAAAGGAAACAAACTTACTTTTTATCTTTTTCTTTTACTTTTTGTCTTAAAGTAAGTTTGTGCAATTCAAAAGCTATCATAGACAACCAAAGACAGAGTGGACTCTACCTAAGGTATTTAGTTTACTTTATTCTCTCCTTACACTAAAATATACAGACCAAAGGCAAGTTGGAATAATAGGTTTAATTACATCAAAATAGGTAATCTTTTGTATTTAATTTCAACACCTCTTTTTTTTAATAACTAAAGGCCCGGTGCACGAAATTTGTGCACGGGTAGGGTCCCTAGGCCTGGCCAGCAATCAGGGCTGATCTGCGGGGCAACCAGCAGGAGATTGGGCACCCCCGCTGGCACCTGCCTTGGCTGGCCTGGTGCCACACGCACACCGGCCCCACCCCCTGCCACCGCCTCCTATCGGGGCCTGTGGGTTGGGGGTTTTATAACTAAAGGCCCGGTGCACGAAATTTGTGCACGTGTAGGGTCCCTAGGCCTGGCCAGCAATCAGGGCTGATCTGCGGGGCAACCAGCAGGAGATTGGGCACCCCCGCTGGCACCTGCCTTGGCTGGCCTGGTGCCACACGCTCACCGGCCCCACCCCCTGCCACCACCTCCTATCGGGGCCTGCGGGTTGGGGGCAGCTCCTGTGTCTGCCCCCTGGTGGACAGTGTGCATCACAGTGACTGGTCGTTCCACCAGTCGTTCCGCAATTCGGTCGATTTGCATATTAGGGTTTTATTACACAGGATACCAACAAACCAAAACAGCAAAACAAAAAGCTAACACCCATCCTATATAATGAAAAGGTAATATGCAAATTGACCCTAACAGCAGCAGAACGACTGGTCACTATGACACACCCTGACCACCAGGGGCCAGACGTTCAATGCAGGAGCTGCCCCCTGGTGGTCAGTGCGCTCTCACAGGGGGAGCTCTGCTCAGCCACAAGCCAGGCTGACGGCTGCAGTACAGGGGTGGTGGTGGGAGCCTCTCCCGCCTCCTCAGCAGCGCTAAGGATGTCCGACTGCAGCTTAGGCCTGCTTCCCGCTGGCAAGTGGACATCCCCCGAGGGCTCCCAGGCTGCCAGAGGGATGTCTGACTGCCAGCTTAGGCCCAATCCCCCGGGGAGCGGGCCTAAGCCAGCAGGTGGTTATCCCCTGAGGGGTCCCAGACTGAGAGAGGGCACAGGCCGGGCTGAGGGACCCCCCCAGTGCACAAATTTTTGTGCACTGGGCCTCTAGTATACTCTATAATGAGCTTAGAACCAGAACATGAATTCTGTGTATGTGTATACCTATAGTCACAGTATACCTGTTTATCGTGTCACTTGTAGACACCTAGTTAGTTACCTGTTATTGCTCTGAATATTATGTTCCCTAAGAAGGCCCACTTCCTCTTTGGCCCTTTTCAGGAGAGCTTGTTTGTTTTCAAATTCTGACGATTTCATGTAGTTTTCAATCCTCTGGTACTGAGTATCTGAGAACCGTGCTAATGAGAGAAATGCCTTCATTTGTCCATTTCTGAGCTCATCACTGCTTTCTCCATCATAATTTCCAGCAACTTCTACTGCCTTTAAGAAAACACAATCCGTTTATATTACATTTACAGGTACTAAAGGCATCTCAAGAATCACACAGGTCAAAGAAATACCTACACTAAAGTTTAACTTGTTTATGCACTAGCTAAATCATATGAACTGCACTACTTTCTTGACTTTTCAAAACAACTCTGATAGTTATGATTAAACTAAAGCAGTAAGAGGGAGAAACAGGAAGGTTGAAAGGGGCTGGAGTACAGAAGTCCTAATACTAGTTGCTGGGTGGTTGGGCTACAAATGAATAGCACAGGCTGACTTGCACATTCCTTAATCAGCTAGTTTTGTACATAAATAAATGGAGAAATTATCAGAAACAACTTGTTGAAAGAGTGGGTGCTGGTTGGAGGGACAAGGAAAACACATTTGAGCTTACTTTTAAAATATGCTCCTTCTTGGGAGAAAAAGGAGACATGTAATACTTTCAACAATAAAGAATTTAAATTTTAAAAAGAATGCTCTTTCTTTTGCAATATTCTATTCCATTCTGCCCTACAGTTATATAGAGCTACAGCAGTATTAATTATACTAATAAAAGCCTAGGTGGTTGTCACGCCCTCGCACGACGTTGTTACAAGTTGGCCATGCACACAGAGGAGGCGGGGCCTGGTGGCCGCTCTGCACAATGAGGCTTGGGGGTCCTGTGGCTCCACGCGGCACAGAGGACGCCAGTCCTGCGTCTCTGCTGCCTCGCGAGGAGGAGGTGGGTCCTGGCGGAGGAGGCGGGACTGGCAGGGGAGGGCAGGTGTGGGCGATTGGGCTGGCACGGCTCCACGCGGCACAGAGGACGCCAGTCCTGGGTCTCCACTGCCTCACGAGGAGGAGGTGGGTCCTGGTGGAGGAGGCAGGACCGGCAGGGGAGGGCAGGTATGGGCGATCGATCCTGCAGGGGAGGGCAGTTGGGAGCCATTGGGCCAGAAGGGGAGGGCAGTTGGGGGCCATCAGACTGGCAGGGGAGGGCAGTTTGGGGCCATCGGGCCGGCAGGGGAGCAGTTAGGCGTCAATCAGGCTGGCAGGGGAGCGGTTAGGGGGTGATCAGGCTGGCAGGCAGAAGTGGTTAGCGGCAATCAGGCAGGCGAGAGGTTAGGAGCCAGTGGTCCCGGATTGTGAGAGGGATGTCCAACTACGGGATCGGGCCTAAACCGGCAGTCGAACATCCCCCGAGGGGGTCCCAGATTGGAGTGGGTGCAGGCCGGGCTGAGGGACACTACCCGACCCCTGTGCACGAATTTTGTGCACCAGGCCACTAGTAATATATAATACATAGAAATTATACTTTATTTGCTTTTGAAATAAATTTGGCCTTGATGAAAAGATCAAGTTTTATGCATGCTAAACAACTGTCTTAAAGGTTGCAAGAAAACCTTACCTTTTCTAGATAGGTCTGCATGATGACTGCAGGATTTTCTAAGCAAGTTTCTGCTAACCAGTTGCCACAAACCCTCAGACATTCTGTGTATATAAGTTTTTGGTTGGGATCATCCTGCATATGAAAAGCAAAATCTTAAGATCTTAAAAGCATCATCAGGACTATACAAAAATATATTTCACTTAGGGAAAAAAGCAGGTTAACAATGTTTCTCTTTATCTGCTTTCACCACACAACTATTTTAATAATCCAAGTAAGTAAATTTATGAAATATTCACCCTCTACTTATTATTATTACTATTATTGGAATAACTTACAATTATTGAGTATTTGTTTATGCCAGGCACTTTCTAAGGGCTTTATGTATATTTACTCATTTAATCCTATGAAATGAGTATTATATTTAATTTGCAGAGTAGAAACTAAAATTGAGATACAAAGAGGGTAGGTAACTCCAGGCAGCCTTACCCCAGGGCCCATATTATTAAACAAAGTTTAAACATCATATCATATTGGCTCCCAGTACTCTGGCATAATAGTGATTTTTCTAATAATTATAGATGCCATACAAATGCTCAATACCAAAAGTGCAATGAGTTGATATTCACTAATCAGGTGCACGTCAGAAGGACATTATTGTGACCACACCCTTTAACACATTATGATTCCTACAAATGCCTCTACTTTTGTCCATTGTGTGCTGGAAATAAAGCTTTAGAGCAGCCAAATCTTCAATAACTAATAGGAAATGGTAGATAAAACATTAACATTATATTTTCAAAGTATTTGGATTGACAACCTAATGATTCCAACTTGCTTATTGTAAAACTTTTGTTCTCTCAAGCATTTTTCTCTTAGTTATTTCAAATTGATAGCAACTTCATGTTTGTTTCCCACATGTCCTTCCTGAATCTTATAGGAAAAGGCATTGCAATAAATCAAATAAATCTATCATAAGATGGACTGATATAATTATTTCAAATAGGAAAAATGAGTACTTTTTTAACCCTTTCACAAATATTAATTTTTCAGACTACTTTTTACAATTTCTTACTCATAGCAGTAATTTCAAGACTATAAAAATTATGAATTTATTAAAAATATTTAAAGCACCGTAATTTTTTTATAACAACGTATTAATTCAGCCAATTAAAAAGGAGTGAACCTCGGAACAACTGGCATCCAACTTCTTGATCATTTGCTTGAGAATACTCAGGGCAAGGCTCTGCTCCTGCTTTGCCCAGAATACTTGTGCTTCCTCCAGCTGCCACCCAGAAACTCCACAACTAGTTGAATTATATTGTTTAATTTGGAATATTGCCCTTTCAGGGAGCTGAAATGAAAAGAACACATGGAAGTAAATGCTTTCACTATTATTACTACTAGGATTCACTGAGTTCTTGACTCTGTCAGAACTGTCCTAGGTACATCTCCACCTGCCTTTCCCAGCCCTCACATCTGATTGTTTTTCTCACATATATGTATGTGTGGGTATACATAGTACATAAAGTCATTGAATTGGTAGGTATATCTTCTCATTTTATAAATAGGACATTGAGGCTTAGAGGAGGTAAGTAACTTGCTCAAGGCTTAAAATCAGGTCTAACTCAAAAATGGAAACCTTAGCTTAAACAATTATGCTATACTATATATATATATGTGTGTGTGTATAAAAAAAAACATATTCCTATTGAGTTCAGAGAGAAAGGGAGTGGAAGAGAGAGCTAGAAACATCAATGATGAGAGAGAATCATCGATTGGCTGCCTCTTGCATGCCCCCACCTGGGGATCCAGCCCACAACCCGGGCATGTGCCCTGATCGGGAATCGAACTGTGACCTCCTGGTTCATAGGCCAATACTCAAGCACTGAGCCATGCCAGCCAGGTGCTATACAGTATTTTAAGTGATCTCTGTCTCTCAATAACATTGCTTTTTTACTCATGCTTTCTATTTTCTAGGTAATAAAAAACCAGTCAAAAGGTGAGATGACATAGTTTTAAATTCAATTACCTGGGTGTTCTTGAAAGTTCGGGCTAGTATGGAGAGTTCCACAAGGTGCTTGGTGAGAATGTCCTTAAAACATTCTCTTTGGGAGTTCTCCATTTCTTTTTCCATCAAGAGCTCCAGGATGACTGTGCGCAGAGCCATGATAGGCTCCTGAAAACTAAAATCACTGTCTTTGAGAAGCTGGGAGTGCTTCCGCCACTTAATGTATACTTCAGAGGGTTGCCTTTCCACGACTGATCTGAAAGCAAAATCACAGAATTAATGTAAGCAAGAGAAATGGGGAAAATGTGTTATAATGCAGGGTCTAAATTTAAGATATAATACAAAGGAGTTTATTACAGTAACAGGAATGGAACTTCTAAATAATCCAAAATAAGGATCAAAGTTTAGAAAACTACAAAATGGTCCAAGCTCTGAGGGTCGACAGAGAGGTTACAGACAATGAACAGTTTTAAAATTTTTTCTTAAAAATACTCAGATTTGCTTGGCCGGCGAGGTTCAGTGATTAAGCATCGACCTATGAACCAGGAGGTCAAGGTTCGACTTCAGTCAGGGCACATACCTGGGTTGCAGGCTCAATCCCCAGTGTGGGGTATGCAGGAGGCAGCCAATTGATGATTCTCTCTCATCATTGATATTTCTATCTATCTCTCTCCCTCTCCCTTCCTCTCTGAAATCAATAAAAATACATATATTTTAAAAATACTCAGACTTCACAAAAAGCAGCATTTCTAAATATGCTGTCTTCTGAAATGAGAACACATTCATCAGGCCTGTCATACCAGATGCCCACACCTGTAGTCTTGCTTCAATGTTCCTGGTAGTAAAAGAGGACATGTCAGCAAGGCAATGAAATCAACTCATTAATTTCCTACTGTACCCGCCAGGCCTAGTGGATGACTCTATGCAGCTGGTAAAGAAATCGCAATCCCAGTGAAGGAAGTGTTGGCAAAGGTTTCATGGACCAACGTTATTTATTAAAGGAAGAGAAAAAGAATGCTGTATGATTCGTTTATATGAAGTTTGCTTCCCAGATGTTTAAACTAAGCAATACTGTCTAACCCTTCAGAACTACTGTGTTGAGAGAAATTAAGATGGAGCAGGGAGATAAAGAAGATGACAAAGTGCTGGCTAGTAAATGAAAGCTCTTTTACTTGCTTGATAAAGAAGGAAACAGTGACACACATTCATTGAACCAGAACTAATGATCCTAGAGCAGGGGGTATCAAGCATCTTAATCTCAGGAACCCCTTTTACACTCTTACAACTTACTGAAGACCCTAAAGAACTCCCATTTATTGGATTATAACTATCTATATTTACCATATTGGAAACGAAAACTGAGGAAAGTCAAATATATATTAATTTACTTAAATGACAATAATAAATTTACTATATATCCTAACACACACACAAAAAAATAACCACAGTTCTCAAAATAAACTTTAGTGAGAAGAATGGCGCTGTATCGTATTTCTGTGAATTTCTGATGTCTGGGTTAATAGAGATAGCTGAATTCTCATCTTTGCTACTATATTTGGTTTGTTGTGATATGTTTTGGTTGAAGTACATGAAGAAATTCTACCCTCATACAGATATGTAGTTGGAAAAAGGAGGAGTATGTTAATAGTCTTCTCAGATAATTGTGGATGTTTTTCTCTGATACCTCAAAAACTTCCACTGCACCTCATGAGAGAATGAGAACAGAAAAAGGAAAAAACATCTTATTATAAGTATGATTCATGGACCCCATGAATAGATTTGGGGACCCTCAAGAATATACCCCACTTAAGAACTACTGTTCACCAGCTCATCAAATGGCCCTCCACTCCCTTCCTTATAATTCTCTATCAGAGACAGCCAGTATCATTCTTCAGGGCTTTCATAAGGAATCTGTCCTCACTTTAGTGAAGACATCTTTCATTCAGAGGAACAGTTCCTGGATCTGTGGCAGTAAGAACTACCAACATACTTATTTATGAAAGTAGAAAGCAGTTTTGCTCCTTTATTCTTGTTAAGAAGAGCCACATCAATGGCTTTGTCTTTGTGCAATTTTGAAAAACTATAATTATTTTCTGACTCTAAAATTTCCTTTTCCTTTTTACTCACAAAGCATATTCCAAGCTCTAATGTAGCATAAAGGTATGGTGATCTTAGCAAATTACACCCCCTCTCCTTCCTCTTATAATAATAATAATAGTGACTCAGAATGACAGGCTACAGAGGGCCCTAGAGGCCATCAAATATAAACCCCCCATTTTAGATATGAGGAGAGTGAGGCCCAAAAAGGATAAGGAACTTTCTCAGGGTCATAAAATCCAAACTGAGATCAGTAGCATCCTGAATAACTGTTTTAGCTCATTTTTTCAATATTCTGGAGTGTTTCCCTCTCACCGTTATAAGATCAGAATGACAGGCTACAAAGGGCCCTAGAGGCCATCAAATATAAACCCCCCATTTTAGATATGAGGAGAGTGAGGCCCAAAAAGGATAAGGAACTTTCTCAGGGTCATAAAATCCAAACTGAGATCAGTAGCATCCTGAATAACTGTTTTAGCTCATTTTTTCAATATTCTGGAGTGTTTCCCTCTCACCGTTATAAGAGCCAATCTCCCCTACACACCTATTCCAAATTCACTGACAGTCACTGAATGTTTAGTATGAATCAGTCACCAGGAAAATGCACTGGGGATACAACAGCAAACAAGAGAATGGGCCCCACTTTTAGGAGCTTCTGGCATAGCATAGCAGAGTATATACAAAATGACACCAATGTCAATGCAGTGCTCCACAGAAGGGAGAATAATATGCTGTAGCAAAAAACATGAGGAAACACTTCCACCTGGGGTAGAAAAGAGAAAACAAAGTAAAGAGGAAAGCATCTAATACTAAAATTTAAAAACTTGAATTTTTACTTTCATTATTTTTGAAAATGTTTATTTTAATAAGAGTACAGTTCACTAATCAATTTACAACTTGATGAAAGGAAAGAAACAAACCTACTGATGGTCTCTATTTTTTTAAAGTCACAGCTGGAAACAAAAACACCACTGTTGAGGAATACAGTCATACGAGTCACATACCTTGAGAAAAGCTCCCCAATGCTTTCGAGCTCTCCAATGGCCTGCAATCTGCTAAGTGTGGGGTAGAGTGAATACACAGACTCCAGGCTGCCCTTACACAACTCTTCTACTTCTTTTACTCTAGTGGCAGAACAGACAAGACAATGAAAAAACTAAGGTTTTCAGGAAGATAAAAGTTCTCATCCTAGGCTTCAATTTTGATCTAATAATAATAATATTCACTAGCACTGGCCTAATGCAGTGAAAACAAAATAAGTTTGTTTGAATCGTACAGACCTAGATCTAAATCTCAGCGCTGCCACGTATGGCTGGAAAACTGGGCACATACTGGTTTCCTCTGAATCTAAGCTTTTCTCTTCCAGAATTATTTTGAACATTAGAGAATATATACATAAAAAAAGCCTAAGTGGCTAGAACATAATAAGCACCTAAATGGTAACAATATTATTTCTGTAACAAAATACAGGATTTAATAGGTAACTAGCTATTGTTAAACAAAAAACAATGTTACACTTGTTTGGTCTGTAACACGTTAAGTACTTTAATGTGCAATGTCTCATTTGTGCCCCATAACAAGACTGAAGTATTGACTTTACTTAAAAAAACACTAAAACAGGTATATTCCATACAAACTACTAAAGGAGATAAGATTAAAACTCTTAGAAAACAGGGGTGGCAATCAACAAATCTTTCTTGAGAGTTCAGCATAAAAAAACTGGCCTTGGGGTCGCAAAGGGAATTGTTTTTAAAGGAAAGAGCATGTTTGAACTACATAAACAAAGAAAAATGTATTACATAAGAAAAATAATGTAACAATTTATGTAAGCACCTAGCATTTGAGCATGCTCCTACATTTAAAACAAAAATAAAAACACCATAATATATATTTGACAAATGTGCATTAAAGAATTCTCTAACATATAACATTGAAAAAACAAAGAATACTTTTTCAAGATAGAGAAAACAATTAAGGTAGGCACACCCACAATTGGCATACCAATTTGCTTGCAGAAGATAAAACTCTTCTGAGCACTCATTTCTCAGATGTCAAAAAGGTAGGAAACTGCTAAAACCTGGATGTTGTCCCCATCCCCCATTTGCATTGTTTGAGTTTCAACACTAATTCACATGAATTTTTATTACACAGGAAAGTGTTTTTGAGAGGAGGGCAGAAATGACAAAGAAACAACCTGACTATAGCCACCAAGCTCTTATCCCTTCACCAGTGCAAATCCTTACATTGAAATCATTTGTCAAGTTTTCAGAAAAGAAGCCATGACATTAACTTTCTTTTTATAATACCTGGCATATTTGAGACTTTCATAAAATGTGGAGAATTCTCTATCTCTCAGAGACTGCAAAGCATTGTACAATGATTCGTGGTAACTGGTTCCTTCTATTCCTTTGCTGTAATTTTAAAAATAAAAGAAAAAATACATTTAAAAACAGAACCTTAAGATATGCATGTATAATTTAATCAAGAGACACAATTTTAAAACTAAAATTAAGATTTCTCCATTATAAAAAGCATTTCTAGAAATTTCAGTTAAGAAATACAAAAAATTTGGTCATTTAAATTCTTTAAGCAGAAAAAATGTTTCTCACATACTGTGCGGGATTCTAAATATGCTATATTTTCACTTTTTTATTCATTAAACACCAACTATGTGCCAAGCACTAAGTACCAGGTTTAGATGCAAAGTCAGATCAGATTCATTTTCATGGAGTTTATGTTCCAGTTTGGAGAAGATGGACAATAAATAAGAAAAATATAAGGTAGTGATAAGGGAGATGCAGAGAATTAAAACAGAGTAACAAAACTGAATCAATGTTTTAGAATGGGTAGTCAAGAAAGGTGTCTCTGAGATGTGATATTATTAAACTAAAATCTGAATGACAAGAAGCCACAGACATGGTAATGGGGAAAAAGAAGATACATGTAAGGCCTTTAGGTAGAAACAGCTTGGCCTGATGAAAAAATAGAAAAGACCTTTGTGGCTGAAATAGAGCAAGCAAAAGAAGAACAGTATATGGTGACTTATATAAGTAGGCAGGAACAAGTTCATAGACTATAATGTTTTAAAAATATGAAAGTAGCCCTAGCTGGTTTGGCTCAGTGGATGAAGCATCGGCCTGCAGACTGAAGGGTACCAGGTTCGATTCCGGTCAAGGGCATGTACATTGGTTGCGGCACATCCCCAGTAGGGGGTGTGCAGGAGGCAGCTGATCAATGTTTCTTGCTCATCGATGTTTCTAGCTCTCTATCCCTCTCCCTTCCTCTCTGTAAAAAAAATCAATAAAATATATTTTAAAAAATATGAAAGTATATCTCTAATTTTATAGTAATCCAATAGTTTGAAATTGGAAAGAAATGCCCATTAGTAAAAAAACAAACAAAAAATAACTTCTATGAAGTCAGTTAAACATACAGTTAATATGATTTAATTTTTTGTTGTTTACCTCATCAAAAGACTTTTTAACATAGATACAAAATCATTTATTAATTAGGTATTTGGCTTTTCATTCAGAAAATGAGGTGATCCTACAAATATTATCATCCTGTGTTAGTAATTTAGCAGTATTTTTTTATAAAAAATATTTCATAAATAAAGGTAAACAGTCTTTTGTATACATCCAGTCAATAACAGTGCTAACTGATTAACTAAAATGTTTGCAGCAGGGAGTGGGGAGGGAAATGGATATATTTTTCTTTGGATTTATAAATATAAGTGAGAAGATTCTCATGAGAAAATACTTTTTATATTTCTATTTTCAAATATACTTGGGGGTAGGGGTAGAGATGCCTTAATGGAAGAGAGTGAAATGCAAGTCTAGGTACATCAACTGCTTATTGCTATCTTATTTAAGCATGTAGGCATATCTTCAGCTTGCAAGATCTCAAAAACATAAAAACAGAAATCCTGTTATAGTCATAGAGCAATATTTTAAAAGTGTATTGTTTATAAATAGAGAAATGATGATTAAAAATGTCAGAGTTCTTCTTACTTAACAGAAATGCAGTGGTCCCATTGCATATTCCTCCATGCTGCTTGGTAATGAAGTTCCTGTAGTTCAGCACACCACTCTTTATTTTCATCATCTAATCCTTTTAAGTAGACAGAAAGAATATGACAGAGTCCCAAATTCTGCAAGGCCTGAGCAGGAGTTTAAAGAAAAAAGTAAGTAATCAAAGATAACAGAAAACTAGAAATAAAATATAACAATCAAACACGCAAAGTAACTTTTAAAAAAGTTTAGTAGTGAACAATATTTCATTTAAAATTCCGAAGTAATGGTAGCTATGTTCCCCCAAAACATAAAGATAGAGCTCAAAGGACTCTAATATCTGATGGAAGAATGGTTAAGGAATAGTAGCCACTAACAGAAATGATACCTTCTGGGACCAGCTCTAATGCAAACTATTAGAAATAGTTTACATGAGATTATCCAGGTGGACTTAATTCATTACCTAGCACACTGTACACCAACCATGTCAAGCATGTGGCCCACAATGAGTATTTTTGCAGCCCAGCCAATATAATGGTATGCAAGAAATGTTTTAATAAAAATTTTGTAACTTAATTTTTACAATATCCTGTTATACATAATTATTAATAACGAACTATAACGTTCGCTAATGACCGATTACTATAATAGTGTTGCATTCACTTCCCTTACGCGCCTTACACACAGGCGCACCATTTCTCTCCACTAATGCTACCAGTGAATATTTTAGCAGCTGATTGCCACGTCATTAGTCTTGGACTGACTTGTTTGGTGTGTGCAACAGGAAATATTTTGCTTTTGGAGAACAAGAAAAATAGGTTTATTTGCATTAAGCTTATTAATTTGTGCAGTTATTCAGTGTCTGGTAATTTAATGTTCAAGAAAAAATATTAATTTTTATTAAAATGTTCTATTATTTTATGTTAATGATTACTCATTTATTTCAGTCCTTTGTCTTTAGCATGTCTCTATCGAAATAAACCTATGTTTCTATGAAAATTGAAACTTTTTTTTTTTGCGGCCCACATAAACTTAAACCTTATTTGGCCCATGTAAGCCTTTGAGTTTGATATGTTTGCTGTACACAGTCAAGAAATATCTCCTAATATTAGCTAACAAGATTATCATTAACACTATCTTTTAGGTCAGTGACCTGTCTTATTTACCTGTGCATCCCTCTGACTTTTTAGCCCAATGCCTGAAAAAACACATAATTTCAGTCTTACACCTAGAATTTATCGAGCTATATAAATATCCCACTGACACACTGAAATCATCTCAGCACTGCACTTTTAGTGCTTTACTAAAGCAGGAAAAAAAAATACCTGAATGATCCCCGCCTGGCGTGTTGGCGAAGAGATTGCTGTCTCAAGGTCATATGTCACTAGGGCTTTCTCCCACATTGCTTCATGTTCATATGTTCGTAGTCTATAATTAAAGATTTCAAAATACCTTTGAGTTCTACATGTATGTGACTCCTTTACAAACAGAATTATAATACCATTACCTAGAAAAATGCAATTTACCTAGTAAGGGGTTGTAGCATTTTCCCTCCGCCACAGCCATACAGACTGTCTGGCTCCCCTATGCTTCTGTAGATTTCTAAGAGCAGATCCTAAAAACATGGAAACAACAAAAAATGAAGAGGAAAACTATCACTTTATGAATTTAGCAAATTGGAAGTTCACCAACATGTAAATCTCAACTATAAATGCTATATTATAAAATAAAATATGATATTAATTTGGATTAGGAACACAAAAAGATCCCAGATAACCGAATGACAATGTAAATTAATACCTGAGAAGAGTTGCTCACAATTTAATGAATTAGATAAGAAATAAATCCCAACTGACTAGGCTTTTAAAACATGCAAAAATAATCATTAAAAACACACACCAAATAATCCTGTCAATAGCTAAAACTGTTGATGGGAAAATGATGTTCTGAAGCAAAGTCTGATTCTTGAAAATGGAATTTAGTTAAAAAAAAAACATACAAACTCAAATCTGCATTATGTTATAATTGGTAAAATTTGATATGGATAAAGAAGAAGTTTGATGACTCAAATCTTTGCTGTGAAATTTACACAGGAAAAAGATAATTATTTTAAAATAATCTCAATAAAATTAAAATTAAAATTGAAAAAGTAAGAAACTGTATTGCATAGGAAATCAATAAAGCAATTTAACTGCCTAAAAGGTGCTTGCTTTGAAGGATATTGCTTAAATAAAAATTCATTGATATTGGCATCACTGTGTAATTGTAATTAAACTGTTTCTATTCATAAACATGAATTCAAGTCTCAGTGTTAAAACATTTAGTATTTAAGCCTAGTACAGTGCTTGGAACACAAAAAATATTCCAAAAACTAAAAGAGGATAAGAGGATAAAGAAGTAAATAGGGAAGGAGAAAAATTGGGAGAATGGAATTTTAAAAAGGTAGATAGAACATATTTCAAGCAAGGCATGGTTGATGGTGCCAAGTGTTAAAGAAATGTTAAGAAACATGTTGAATGAAAGATGACCACCAGACTTAGTAACATGAAGTTTACCAGTGTCATTAGCAAGTGCAACTTCAGTGGAGAGAGTGGAAGGAGAGGAAATGGAGACACCAACTAGAGAGAACTTTTTCACAAAGGTTTGCTGTGAAGGGAAGGGAGAAAAAGAGGGTGGCACACACACAAAGAGACATAGGGACTAGAAAAATGATTTTGTATTAGTTTGCAGGAAAATGATTTTAACAGGAAAAGTTTGATATGTTGAGAGAGGGCACAGCACAATTTTTTTTTTTTTTTCTGAAAAAGAGCTGTTGAAAAACAAAGCACAGGAAGAAGGATTAGTCTGCGGACAGAAGGAAAAACCATTTCTCTACGATGGGAGCAGATGCAGGGAGATTTCTATGATAGTAGGTTGTGGTGGGATTTCCTGTCTATGTCACCCGTTTTCTCCAGAAGTAGGAGGAAAGCTAAAGCTAAAACAAAAGCAAAGCCAAAAAGATGAGAGAAGTTGAAATTGTCATTTTAGAGAAATAAGTTTACCTCAGAAATTCAGTAAGAACAGGCCAATTTAAGAGTAGATATTAAGAAATGTATTGAAGGCCTGAGATGTGACCAATACAACAAATAAGTAAACCAATAAATATGTAATTATAAATGTTAAGTACTATAAGGAAAATGAAAAATACATGGTATCAATTACCCTATGATATAGGTTTTACATCAATCTTTCCAATAAAGGAACTCAAGGTTGGAAAGGTTAAGTAATTGGTGCAAGATTATACAACTTAGTGGTAGAGTCAGGATTAGAACTCAAATTTTCTACTCCAAGGCCTAAGCTTCAAATCATGAATTTATGTACATGACAGTCCAAACTTCAGTTTGAAAATCAAATTATATCTATACAGTCTCTATAACAAAATAATATGAAGTATAAAATAAATATTATCACAAATAGTAGGCCTATAATATTTACCTGTAAACTTATTCCAGTTTCTTCTTTACTTTTTTCACTCAAGCTAGAAATGGTTGTGCTTTGGCTTCCCTCTTCAAATACAAGATTTCTGTTTGTCACAGAATACATATTTTAATGAGATGCTTGTGAATGCATAGACTATAGACTTTGATGGAAAAACTAACAATGGTCACAAATAAAATATAGTAAACCATTTATACCTTAAAACATAGTATCACTTAGGCTTAGAATGAAAAACAAATTTGTGATGTGAATATTAATTTTTCAATGAGAATTACATTTTAATGACAATGTTATGTATGGGAAGGCTACATGCCAAAAATGCTTATTTATACAAACAGGCCTGTTTAAAAATAGAGTAGCTGCCACCCAATTTAGTTCCCAACTGTTCTGCCAGTATTTTTACCTAAAGTTCAACCTCATTAATAATCACAGGCACACAAATTAAGATCACACTAAAACACCACTTAAACCGGATAAATGGGCAAAAGATAAGACGTCTAATAATATATTGCGTTGATAAACCTATACCCAAGATTATAAACCTAGTAAGTAGTAATAAGGATTAGAACTCAGATTTGTCTGCTCCAAGGCCTTAGCTTTAAACCATGCATTTATATGTGATATTCAGTCCTATAAATACTTTCAATTCTAAAATCATGCCACATACACAGTGCCTATAAAATACTATCATATGTGACAGCACCTCTATTATTTACATATAAACTTATTCCAATTTCTTCTTTACTTTTTCCACCCAGACTAGAAATAGTACTTCGGCTCCTTTCTTCAAATGTAAGGCTCCCTATTTATCCACTTCTCACGAATCACATTTCTGAGAAGCATGCAAATTGGTATAACCACTTGAAAAAACAACTTGGCACTATCTTATAAGGTTAAAATTTACATACCCTGCGACCTAGTAATTCTACACTTAGCTCTCTCTCAGGGACAGGGGAATGGTTAAATTAATTGTGGCATATTCTCCCACTGGTACACTATATGGCAGTGACAAATTGATGAACTACAGCAACACAAAACATAAACAAATCTTACAAAAATATTAAATGAAAAATCAAGCTGTAGAAAAATACACATAATTTCTTATAAAGCTCAAAAATAAGGAAAACTGCAATATATTTATGAGCTCATACTCACATAACAATATCATCTAAGTGAATGATAAACACAAGACAGAAGATAACATTTGCATCTTGGAGGAAGCACAGAGGGATGGGGCAGAGACCACTCATTAATATAATGGTGCTGAAAACATTCTATTTTGCTTTATAACCCTTATACATAGATACTGCATATATTTCCTTATTGGCAAGTCATACAGAAAAAAGTCAGTTTTTAGAGAAGAAATCTGGAAAGTAGGAAAAATATTAGAGAGTATGATTCTAGTCTACGGCTGTCATTCATCCAGGCACACGGAGTTTCAGGACTCCTGTCAGGAACATTAAAATGACTGAGGGTGTGAACTAATAACACCTATTGTCTAAATCCTGTTTGAAAACGTTTTGACTTCTAAAAAAAATATGGACACTAAACGTTGAAATCTCACTATTTTCTCAGGAGCAAGTTACAAGTAAGTAAAACTTCATATGTATTTTTTGGAATAGCTAATATGGAAGCATTTTGATATTAAATAACAAATAGAAAATTTAAGAGAGCAATTCACTTCTTGGACCCGACAGTGTGTAAACTGTTGATTTGGTTTTTGCTCACAATTATGCTTTCCCTGATCACTTTAAATTTACAAAGTCTCAGTTCACCTGAGCTACTGAACAAAACTGGCAATCCCTACATTTTACACACCTCTTATCTCTGTTTGCACTCCCCCTCCCATCGGGCATCAGGAAAAAAAAAATCAAAACCAGACTGTGAAAGCAAACAACAAGCACTATTTATCTGTCAAGCACATTTTCCTAAAGTTTACCAAAATAAAATCGAGGCACTCCTGCTTGACAGACAATTAATTTTTCAAAAAGTTGACACATTCCATATAATTAAAGATGCTTTTATTTTTACTCAGAGAAGAGTGCAATTATACACTCCAGATTAGTAAGAAATACCATTCATTCTATGGAACCAAACTACTGAAGCACATTTGGATTATAATTACTGCTACCAAGTATGCAGGCCCTGACTCAAGATTTTAAGATTTTAAGAATAGGCAATAATCAATTTCTTACTCAATACACACTTTAAGGACAACATGCTTGTCTTCGATAGGAAGTCTACTGTGATTGTGAACATATCCATTACATATTATACACATAATCTACATATTGTAGATTTTTTCCAGTTTTCAACTTGAAAGTAGAAATTAAATACCAAACCAGAGAATTAAAAAATCAGTCCAAGTCTACTAAATTAATTATGTTTGGACTAGGATCTGAATTCTGGTTGCTGATTTTTTCAGTCTAAAAACCATACTTCTTCCAGCTTAATGGCAATCCAAAATGGAAATTAATGGATTAAAAAGCTGTGGTATATCTATACAATGGAATACTACACAGCTGTAAAAAAGAAAGAACTTTTACTATTTGCAACAACATGGATGGAACTAGAGAGCATTATGCTAAGTGAAGTAAGCCAGTCAGAGAAAGATACATATCACATGATCTCATTCATATGTGGAATATAATGAACAACATAAACTAATGAACAAAAATAGACCCAGAGACATAGAGATGTGATCAGACTGTCAAACCACAGAGGGTATGCAGGGGAATGAGGAGGGGGCGGGGGGAGATCAACCAATGAACTCATGTGCGTATGTGCATAACCCATGGACACAGACAGTAGGGTGATGAGGATTGGGGGGGAAGAGGGGTTGGAGAAGGCAATGGGGGGGGGAGGGAAAGGGGACATATGTAATACTTTCAACAATAAAGATTTATTTTTAAAAATAGAAATTATAAGTAGCAAGCATGAGAAATGTACCAACATTATACATATTTGCTATTTCAATTTTTAAAAAATTTATCTTTATTATTGAAAGTACTACAGATGTACCCCTTTTATCCCCATTGACCCCTTCTAGTCAATTTTTTAATACAAGTGATTTTTGTGGTGGAAAAGTGAAGCTAACTATAAAAATAAACACTAGGCTATTTCAAGTGAATAAAAATTTGAGGACAAGTGGGATTATAAATTACATTTTTCACTCTTGAACTTTCTTGGCTGTTTTGTTTCTCACTATTATCTAGGACTACACTTATTAAATTCTTATGAGAGTTCTAACTTAGAGGAAAAGCAAATTAAAGTATTAGAAATTCAGGTAGGTAACAAACACAACAATGAAAGTGATGTAGTCACAGAAAGAAATCAGTTACATTATTTCACAGTCAACAAGTAAAATAGATCTTGATTAAGCTGAGTGAATAGTAGTAAACTTAATTTAACTGAAATCAGGGAAACATTCAACCATTTGAAAAATATTTATTGTTCACTTATATTGTTTCCAATGCCAGTTGCTATGGGAATATAGGGGGAAAGTATGATCTCTGTCTCCCAGTAGCTCCTTGTATAATTTTTTACAATTCTTAAATAATAAACATCTCAATTTATTCCAGAACAGAATTCCTTATTTCTTTTTAAAAATATTATTTCTCTTTTTAAAGACAGAAAACTTCTATCTAAAATATCTTTTAAATGTGAGAACAAAATAAATCTTTAATATAAAACTTCACTGAAACAAAGTCAACACTAATTTTTAAAAACAAAACTTGTAAATTCCATTACCTTTTCTCTTGATCCTCCGTGTTTTTCTTATCTGCGTAGATTTCTGCATAGAGTAATGCCGTAAAGTGAGCAGCACAAGACTGAGCTACCTTGGCAACTTCTAGATAATTCAACTCCAGCCAGAAAGCATCATCAAACACTGTTCCTGAGGAAGATCTAAAGAAAAATTCTAAATGAAGTCATGTCCATTTCTTTAACTTCAATATTAAAAGAAAAGTATACTGATAGAAAATACAATGGAAGCAAGTACTAGTTTAAAAAGAATATCACATTCAAATAACCAAGAACCACATTTTCCCAATATGTAGTCGTCCCTTGGTATTTGTGGGGGCTGGTTCCAGGACCCCAGGCAGATACCAAAGTTCACAGATGCTCACGTACCTAATATAACATGGCACAGTATTTGCATTCCTGTATACTTTAAATCATGTCTAGATCACTAAAATATCTAACACAATGTAAATGCTATATGAATCATTGTTATACAGTATTGTTTATGGAATAATGACAATACTATGACAAAGAAAAAAAGTCTGTACATGTTCAGTACAGATGCAACCATCATGGCCTTACTACATATGACATGTCAGCAACGAGGTAAAATTTCTTTTTTCGAGTATTTTTGATCTGCAGTTGGTTGAATATGTGGGTGTGGAACTTGTAGATGTGCACTCATGGGTATGAAGGGCCGACTGTATCTATAAACAACTAAGATAACATGGCTGAGGAGCCCTATGTGTCAACCTTTTTGGATCAGACACCCTTAGAAAATCTGATGAAAGCTGTGGTCTATCATCCTATACAAACTTGGGGTTCATACTTCCCCTCCACCAAGGGCTATTTGGGCTATAAGCTAAGAATAAGCTACACAGAATAATAATGCATACACAAATCTTTTAAATGGCCGATTTAATAAAAAATTATTTATTTCTTCTAAGTCACGGTTACATGTACTTCCTATCTGCAGTTCATTTCCTCCTTAGTTTTTTGGTCTAGGTTGAGTTATTTAATAAAAACCTTCCACTGTGGTAACAGTGGGTCAGAACTGGACAGGATCATAGATATTACCTTTTTCTGAACGAACATTATAGAGATGTGATATGGTTAAGAACTCTGGATTTAGAGTAGGATACAGCTAGGTTCCAAACCAGCTGGATCGCTTACTACAAACTATCATCTCCAGCAACTTAACTGCTTAAGCCTCAGTTTCCTCACTTGTAAAACCTAGGAACAATATATATCTCCGAGAATAGTTGCAGTGAGTAAATAATGCTTATAAGGCTAATAATAAAGTGCCTATTATACAGTCAACATTTAATGATAGCTCTTCTGAGGAACTTGAAGTTCAGAGATCACAAAGTTTCAAAGTATCAGGCTTGGACTTGAACTCAGGTCCCTTACCCTTTAGTCTATGTCTCATTCATAATCTCTCAAGGAATCTTCTTTAGTCTTATTCAGAGTTCAAACTGAATATTAAGAATTTTTATCTTCTCCCGAGGCCTACGACTGTAAACCCCATTCTACTTCGATGATAAGCCTGGAATTAATGATTCAAAGGTGAAACTGCCTCCCACTACTGAGAAAAGAGATGCTTCTGCAATAGTTAGAGCTTAAGGGTTTTCTCAGAATAGAATCTGTTACAAAGCAGGCAGGTGAATCAGTAACTTTCTCACTAGAAACGAAGACACTGAAAGGCCTAACACAACACTTCTTCTTCTAAAAAAGGAGTAGAACGGTATGAGGAGAACACAGAGGAATTTATTTTATTTTTTTGTTAATCCGCATCCAAGGATATTTTCTCCATTGATCTTTAGAGAAAGTGGAAAAGAGGGAGGGGGAAAGTGGGAGAAGAAAAAAAAAACCAAAACGTGTGTGTGTGTGTGTGTGTGTATGTGTGGCGGGAAACAAGCCTGCACCCTGACCAGGAATGAAACCAGAGACCCTTTGGTGCATGTGCTGACGTTCCAACCACTGAACAACACCAGCCAGGGCCAGAGGAATTAATTTTTAAGACATAAATGCATTTAGGTTAAACATAACTTTTCACTTTTCTCCCACATCTTCCTCCCATCCTTAATCAACTACTGCCATACCACATGAGACATCAATTCCTACCTACTTAAGTTATAGGCCTACTACATTATTTCTTCAAAGTTCAGGTTAACTCTGGAGCAGTATAGATCAGTCAGATGACTGACTCACTCCAGCAATTCCTGTATTCACTGTTAATCTCATGAGAAATAATAGGGAGAAAGATATGGTATTGTAGCCTGGCCGGTTAGCTCAATTGGTGCTGTGGTCCTAATGTGCCAAGGTTGCGGGTTCAATCCCCGGTCAGGGCACACACAGGAGGCAACCAATGAATGAATGGGTGGAACAACAAATCAATGTTTCTCTCTCTCTTTCTCCCTTCCTCTGTTTCTCTGAAATAAAAAAAAATTAAAAATTAAAAACAAAAAGATATTATATTGTAAAACAACTGATCAGAATCAAGAAAATAAACACAGCCATTGCAGAATATTACTGTATAGAACCACTGATTTTGAGGACCATAATACACAGTAAAGTGAGAAAGATTATGGCTGTGCGGGGAAGGATCTATGGGAGGAGCTAAAGCTTATGAGAGGAGTTCTCGCACTCCATGCCATAGCAAGAACCCTATAGGAAGAACTTTATGCTTACAATAAAGCTTGATGGTGGTAATTACCCCTCCCTTAACTTCCTTTTTCCCTTCTATAAATACCTCTCTATCTTGCACCCTGTGCAGGGTGTACAAGTGGTTTGCCATGTCTGCATGCACTGAGTTGCAATCCTTCAACCCACATTTTTACAAAATAAATCCTTTTTTTGTGACAAAACACCTAGTAGATACTGTTTTTCCATGGACAAAAGAAACATATCTTATAATAAAGGAACATAAAGGAGACTTTTACATAACTGTAGTTACTTTTATGAGTTATAAAAAAGAAAAGTAAAAAGTTAAAAGTAATGCAACCAAAAGAATTTCGGAAAATAACTTACTCCTTCCCCATCACTTTGTAGATGAAATAAACTGAAGCCTCAAAAGGGTGCATGATGTAGCAAAGATAACACTGTCACTGACAGTTAGGACTAGAATTCAGAGTTCCTGACACTGATTTACTAGTAACCAAAGTACTACCCTAAACAGGAATTATTACAACAGATATAAGCATAACACAAATTAAATACAGCTCCTTGCAACCACATCACTTCAAATAATCATGTTAAAATGCAGCCAACAGTAGCAAGTTACACTTCCAAATCCCCAAACTCAAGGAGCAATATTCATTACTTACCTCTTTTGTCTCCTCAGGTAGTCCACAACAGCAAGCATTGTTCTTTGTGATCTTTTATCCAAGCAACATCGGGAAAAGTGCTCTGGCTCTGGCAAACAAACAAAAATATCTCCTCTCAGTCCCAGGCAGACTGCTTAACCCTACCAGACCACTGTACCGATTTTTCGGTAATTTCCACACAAAGGTAGAATATTGGCGCTAGATGAAAGGTAGATGAAAGGTAGCCGTATTTTCTACAATGTCTCCAAGTTCCATCTTATTCTAACCACTTGTTTGCATGTAACTAACATTTTTCTATATCATGTTGGTTTTTTCTCTTTAATGCTCAGGAGCCCAGGTATAGGGGACAGTTAGGTTCAGGGCCTCAGGTCTGGTAGGATTAAGCACATTCTTGTTTTGGTTTGTGTATCTGTCTCCCTCAACACCAGTGGTTCCCACCCTTTTTTTGGCCATGACCCCCCACCTAAGCATCTCTAAAATCCTGATGTCCCCCTCCCGCTGCGTGACATATAATTCTTATTATTCAAAAAGTGAATTCCTATTCATATGGAGGAAGCCTAAAAGGCCATTAACTTGGTCTAACCAAGCTTCCAAAGAACATGGAATCCACGAAAGAGAAAAGTAAAAGAACAAAAGGACACCTGAAGTACTGAGGAAGAAATCACTAAAAAATTGTTTAAAAAAAAGAAAAATAAGTGATATGAAAAAATAGCAAGTTTCAAAACATTTAATAGAGAACTGAAATGCATAAATATGTCACATTATATTTATATACTGTATATGAAGCCCCTAGAAACATAAGAAAAAATTCACTGTTAATAACTCATTCTCGAATTGGCCCCCTTAAAAATCAAATTGCCCCCCTCTGAGGCTTGTGCCCCACGTTGGGAACCACTGCTTTACACTATTAAAGGTTCTGTGGGCAGAACCTAGCACAAAATTGTTTCTTAATAAATATGAGTTAATAAATGGAATTTAATGGCTTTCTTTTTCTTTTAAAAGAAACTATTGTGCTTAATATAACTGAGAAATTAATTGTAATTTTATTTCTGAAGGAGACTAATTCATTGATTCAACAAATATTTATCTAGGATCTTTTATGTACTAGGTACAATATATAACTATGAATAAGACAAAGTCTGACCACCTAGAACCCACTAATTAGCCTGAGAGATTCTTTGTTGTTGTCGTTAATCCTCACCTGAGGATATTTTTCTTTTCTTAAAAAAAAAAATACACACACACACACACAGATTATTTCAGAGTGGAAGGGAGAGGGAGAGAGAAATATCAATGATGAGAATCATCAATTGGCTGCCTCCTGCACACCCCCTACTAGGGATTGAGCCCACAACCTGGGCTTGTGCCCTCATCAGGAATCAAACCATGAGCTCCTGGTTCATAGGTCGACACTTAGCACTGAGCACACCAGCAGGACTAAGAATATTTTTTCCATAGCCTTTCAGAGAGTGGAAGGGAAGGAGGCAGGAGAAGTGAGAGGGAGAAGGGGAGAGAGAGAGAGAAAGAGAGAGAAACATTGATGTGAGAGACATCAATCGGCTGCCTCCTGCACGTGCCCGGACCGGGCCAGATTAAACCTGCAACTGAGGTATATGCCCTTGACTGAGAATCGAACCAGAGACCCTTTGGTGCACAAGCCAATGCTCTGAGAAACACTGGCCAGGGCAGAGATTCTTAATTCAATAAATACTACATATGATAGGAAAAGTTTAGAATACTGTAGAGGAGTATAGAAAGGAAGGCAATCTCAATGAGAAAAGTTTCACAGCAAAAGTGAGATCTGGGCCCTAGCCAGTTTGACTCAGTGGATAGAGCTGGGGACTAAAGGGTCCTGGGTTTGATTCTGGTCAAGGGAACATGCACGGGTTGTGGGCTCGATCCCCAGTGAGGGCGTGCAGGAGGCAGCTGATCAATGATTCTCTCTCATCATTGATGTTTCTCTCTCTCTCCCTCTTCCTTCCTCTCTGAAATCAATGGGAGAGAGAGAGAGAAAGAGAGAGAAAGATTGATGTGAGAGACATCAATTGGCTGCCTCTTGCACGTGCCCGGACCGGGCCAGATTAAACCTGCAACTGAGGTATATGCCCTTGACTGAGAATCGAACCAGAGACCCTTTGGTGCACAAGCCAATGCTCTGAGAAACACTGGCCAGGGCAGAGATTCTTAATTCAATAAATACTACATATGATAGGAAAAGTTTAGAATACTGTAGAGGAGTATAGAAAGGAAGGCAATCTCAATGAGAAAAGTTTCACAGCAAAAGTGAGATCTGGGCCCTAGCCAGTCTGACTCAGTGGATAGAGCGTAGACCTGGGGACTAAAGGGTCCTGGGTTTGATTCCGGTCAAGGGAACATGCCCGGGTTGTGGGCTCGATTCTCAGTGGGGGCGTGCAGGAGGCAGCTGATCAATGATTCTCTCTCATCATTGATGTTTCTCTCTCTCTTCTTCTCCCTTCCTCTCTGAAATCAATAAAAATATATATATATTTTAAAAGTGAGATCTGAAAGAAGAGTAAGGGTCCAGCAGATGAGGAAAGGGATAGTGTTCCAGGCAGTAGTGATACTACCTGAAATGGCTGGAACAAGAAAGAACTTAGAGAATTTAGGAAAATATTTTCAATATGGCTGAACCACAGAGATGTAAAGCAGTAAGGACATTGGGACAGAGAAATAGATGGACTAAAGTTATTTATAACAGAATTGGCAGGATTTCGTAGTCAGATGAGACATGTGAGAAAGATTTCTGGCTTGGGCAAGTGCATGCCTGCCATCACTGAAGAGGTGCGCAGTAAAAGACGTAGGCTGGGACGAGAATGAAGGCAAGTTTATCTTCAGACAGTTATGTATGAGATGCACATGGGACATTCAAGTGAAGGCAGTGATATCAGAAAAGATAAACCATTTAATTGGACAGAAATCCGTATTTACTTTCCTTTTCAGTAATAGAATTTTATGTGTCACGTTTAAATGTTCAGTTAAGGCAATGAAAATATTGGCACTCTACAAAGACATAAAACTGGCTGATTTTGCCTTTGAATGCTTATAGCATAAATATGTATGCACAAATGATAAACATGCTTTAAATTACATAATATTTAAACTTTAAATGCTTACTGGTAACTGTGAGTTACTTATACCTATACTTCCCAAATTAAGAAAAGGAGACAGAGTCTAAACAGTTTGTGAAATGTCCATGAGAATTTTAAGACTTTCATTACAACGGCCTAAAAAAAAATATAAGCATATCCTCGATCATTTACATGACCAACTTATAATCCAGTAGGACCACAGAATGGGCATCCATACTTATGTTTATAATTATATTGTTTCAAATAGGTATGTAATTGCTGTTAGCCAAAAGAAAAGCAGACACATAAAACGTAAGCAGAGCAAAGTGAAGTCTAAATGCCATCACGGTCATGTCAAATTAAAGTTGTGGTAGTAAAAGTTAAAGAAACAACTGAGAGAACTGAGTAATCATGACCATGCCAAAGTCACTAGTCAAGGTGGGGAAGAGCAATTTAGTTGTAGCAAATATCACATTATATTAATACTTTTCTTATAATTGTATTGGTCTTAAAGTACAATAAGTGACTTTGTACCTAGTTTTATGTTGCATATATCATACATTAATACAATATATTAAAGATAATAAGTTAACATTATAGATCTATGCAATTCTTTTTCTTTTTTTTAATTTAAGTTTGAAAAACTGACCGATAATGAGCCCTCAACTTGCATGCATCTCTCTCTCTCTCTCTCTCTCTCCCCCCAACACACACACACACACACACACACACACACACACACACACACACATGTTCTTTTTCTGTACTTTCCACAATAAAGATGATTTTGTAATAAAAAAGGCCGCTTTTAAAAAAATGCTTCAATTAGAGCAGTGATTCTCAACCTTGGCTGCACAATAGAATCACCTGGGAATCTTTTTAAAATCCTGATTTCTGGGCCTCATCCTCCGGAAATTCTGTTTCTTTGTTACTAATGTTGTGGTCTAACTGAATTAGAGCTTTAATATGAAATTTCCACCACATGTCCAACACAGTCCCTATAATATCTGGCTGCACGTTTGTCTGCTCTATCCAATGCTGGAATATAGGGTGTGTCTTGTTCATATCTATACTCCCAGTGCCAAGCACACTGCTTGACACATACTGAATTCTCTGTAATTAATTAATAGCCAAAATTTAATGAGGGAATACTATCCATCAAGTGTTATCATAGGTGCTTTACATACATTATCTCATTGAAAACTTGTTACAATTGTTACCTCTATTCTATAGATGAAAAAATAGATGTTTATATTATGGAATTACACCTACAAAGCATCTTGATGAGATTCAAACCAATCTGTCTTTCTCTAGAACCAAGACCTTAGCAGTATAAGTGTGAGAGTTTTAACAGAATACCTGAATCCAAACTTGCAGGGGTCATGGATCGGTTCGTTTGTGAGGAGTATCTGAAACAGTTAGTGAAAAATCCCTGAATGTGCATAGAAAGCAGATTTCTCCATGATTCATTTGCATCTTGAAGTAAAACATCATGAATCAGGTATGGAAGCACGGTCTGACAAAAGTCAGCTTTCACCTAGAATACCCAAACACATACAGTCAATAGGTTAAGTAAAAATAATATATTACAATTTCTTTCCATGTTACTGGCATGTAAGCTTTAAATGATAGATGAATATGCCATAACCTCAATGTACTGCTAGAAAGCATGTGTACCAGATAGTGTTTTTTAAGAAAAAAATTCAAACTAACACAGAATATCTATATAAAACTTATATGGTTAGTTACAATGTTAATTATTCATTTCCAGCCTAGACCATCTACACTAATAAAAGAGAAACATGGTAATTGGCGTACGACCGCTACCGTTCCCATTGGCTAATCACGGCCATATGCAAATTAACTGCCAACTAAGATGGCAGTTAACTGCCAACAAAGATGGCGGCTAATTTGCATACTGCAGGCAGGATGGGACAGCGCCATCCTGCCTGCCCCTCCGCCATCCAGGCCTGCTATCTGTGACCTGGATGGCAGG